AAACTGTTGGGCTTGCCGCATGATCAAGCACGCTATGCATGCTTTTAAAATCTCAGTGTTCTCAAAATGCCAATATTTCTTTCTTTATTTCTCCCAGGCGTTGCACACCAAACTTTATTGTCGCTAAGTGCTTCAATCATCTCGCGTCTGACCAGCTTTCGCATCTGCGCACATGGCCGGCCAAATTTGGAGGCACGGCTGTAGGATGAAGTGAGCAGCCTAGGACCCCGAGGCGAAGCCTGCAGCACCGCGGCACCCTGTGAGACAAGCAATGAACGAGTCTACACCGGAAGGTACTAGCCGAACTCGTCCAGCATGTTGTGCGCACTGTTGTTTTTATCCTTCTGCCTGGCCTGGAGGACAAGGCAGGACAACCAGTGTGAGGGTGGGCAATCCTGTTAATTGCCTAAACAATTGAATGGGTTGTCTCTTGTCGCGCGGTTTCGCGGTGAAGTCCGGTGCTTGATTCTGGAGGGTTAAGCGACATGTGTGTCACTAACCTAGACCATAGTACAAGCCCCTCGTTCAAACAACGGGCATCGAATACATGTCAACCCCCCGCCTTGTTGGTGTCCTTGCTCTTCGCCGCCTTCGCCTTCTTCAAGGACTTCTCAAACTTCTCCTGCTTGCTCTTGGCCAACAGCTTGCCCCGCTGCTTCAGCGGCATCTTGTTGAACTCGTACTTCTCCACCTTGTCCTTGTCCTCCGTATGCGCCTGGTAGTCCTTGACCGCGTTGAAGAGCCGGACCACCCCCTGGGTGGCGTACTTCCGGAGATGCACCTCCAGGTTTTTCATGAGGACATCGGGCAACGCATGGCCCTTGTCCTTCTGCACCTTGTTCTCCAGCGCCTGGATCCTCTGGAATTAGCACCCCAGCAAAAAAATGAAAACAACTCATTTTTTTGGGCCTGGCGGGTGGAAAACACAGGGACCCCCAAACAAGCGAAAAATTAAAAAGGGAGCTAATTCTGGGGAAGGATCCGCTTCTCCTTCAGCTCCGCCTTGCCCTGCCTGAGCTTCTGCTCCAGCTGTGTCTCGGCCAGCACCGGGGCATCCGGCTGCGTCAGCTCCCGCCCCAAAATCGACGCGCAGGCGCTGCAGAAGCCTTTCCAGCCCGCCTCCGGATTGGGATTCGCTGGTTTTGGCGGTTTGCCCGCGGATTCGGATCCCGCCGGCTCACCGTCGCCCGAGTCCGAGTCGGCTTGGCTGAGCTTCGCATCGGCTTGGGTCTTTGCCTTCTTTCTCTTCATGGCAAGCCATTCGCACAGCTTGGGCCAAACCTTGCAAAGTCCTTGCATGGCCTGAGAGGCCCTACCAGCTGTCAAGTGGCACAAACGTCAATGACTGCTTGACTCTTGAAGTTTGGAAGCAACTCCGTGCCTGCTGCATCGCCACACTTCATGCGGAAATGCAGGCGTATTTTTAGCGAATGGCGTACCTGCTGCAATGCCAAGAGCCAAATGAATTAGCACATCCGTGGCAAAATTTGCTGGCTGCTTGGGCATCAAGGGGCAATGTCAACAAATATCTCAAGAGGCTGGTGCCCTTTTCACGCTCAAACCAGCCAATATACTCAGCAATGCTTGCCGCTCTGCATGTGAGCTCCGATCATGGTCAACAAATACTGGGATGAGTGGCCCCGTATCTTCGCCCACCTTGTCGGCAAAGTTTCCCACCACATGCAAAGCTTGACTACAATGCGAAAGCACATGAGCCTGGGATGCGCCAATGAGACGTGCGGAGCGCGCTGTTCCTTCCAACGTCTTCACTTTGCGCCGGGCTTCTGCACGGAAGCCCGGTAGCCACGAAGAGAGCGTGTTGTGGAGGCAAAAGTGTCTTAGCACGTCGGACGTCAATGGCCCGAGGCTGTAGAGTTGCAGCGGGCGAAGCTGTGCCTCTGAGTTGGTCATGCTGAGCCGCGGGAGTGCCGCAGCAAGGATTCTTCGAGCAAAGAGCGACTTGTGCTGTGCTTCAACCTTGCCGTGCGCAAAGAAGACCTCCAGCGCAGCTACTGCTTGACTTGGTGACTCACTCTGGGGACCTGGGGACATGCAATCAAAGTCCCCCATCCAGCGTATCAGCTGCTCGGGGCAGTTTTGCTCAAGCACTGCAGCAACTTCAGCGAAGGATACCAAGTCAGCTTGGAGCCTTAGCCGGCTCATTCTTGAAACCAAGGCAGAAGCCTCAGCCCATACCGCGTTGGAGCCTGCTTCTGAACGACAGGAGGAAACTGCCGAATTCAGCGTGGACAGGTCAGGCAGCACTGCTTGCCAGGTCATCTCAGCAAGCAGGTTGCTGGCAGCCATCCAACGTTGCATCTTGGAAAAGGAATCCATGACTGAGTTCGTACTCACCACGCTGATATCATCTCTTGCCATCTGTAGAAGGTCCACGCAATGAGTCCATTGCCAGGCCTTGCCACACGAAGCTATTAAAGCTCCAGCTGGCACGGAATTCTCGCTCCGCGGCCACGTGCGAAAAACATGCAATGCGTCTTGCCAAAGGTCCTCGCGGTCACAAAGACTCAGCACCACACCCAACAGCGTGGCATCCTTCTCAACGCTGCGCTCGCCCAGCGTTTGTAAGGAGCTCAAGGCTTGCTCGCGTCGGCCGCACCCGCGAAGACACACCAAACAACTGCCCAGCAAAGCCGAGCAGGACGACTGGCCAAGGAACGCGAGTAAACTCACAGCTTGCGCCCACTTCTGGGCGCCCTCCAGCTCCTGAAATTGCGAGGCGAAAAGCGTCAGAGCCGAAGTTGAGACACGACCTGCCAATCCAAGCCCCACGTTTCTGCCTGGAAGCCCCCGCAAGACGTGAAGTCCTTTCTGCCAGCCCAGCCGAAGTGAGAGCAACGACGCGAAGTTCCCCAAATCCAGCTTCATGCCGCGGCCCATCTCGCGCATGGCCACCAAAGCGAGCGACCAGCTGTGCTTCAAGCCACGCAGTATGGTGCTGCAGGCTGCCGCATCCGGTCGGAGCTTGGCCACCCTGAGGTCCTCCAGGACTGCGCACACCTGGCGCCACTTCTCGGCGGCAATCATGCCATCCATCGCGGCAGTAGCGGTGATCATGTCAGGCGCCGGCCCGGCCGACTTGAAAGCTGTCAGCATCCTGCTCCAAACCGATGACTCGCTCCAGGCGCTCAGCATCGAATTGAGCAACGCGGTGTCAACTTGCAAACCATCACTCGCGAAGCCGAAGCCCACCGAGCGCTCCCACACCCGGGCTCTCGCACAAGTGCTGACAACTGCAGTAGCCGTCGCGGGATCGTGCCAGCCCTTTCCCAGCGTCAAAGTTTTACGCCAAAGGATTTGTCGGCCGCAAGCAGCTGCTAGGGACGCAAATGGAACGAAAGTAGCAACCCCGGCATTCGTCGCATCTCCGAGAAGGGTCGTGCAAGCTTGCCAGGCGCCGGAACGGCCAAAAGTTCTTGATAGGATTTTGAAAGTCACACGGTCTGGTCGCATCTCGAAGCCTTGGGAGACACACAGCGCAGCAGGCCACGTGCTGCTCCAACCCGCAGACAAAAACGCGTTAAACAGTTCCATGCTGGGCTGAATGGCTCTTTGGCGGCACGCTGAGTCAAGCAGTTCACGCACCAGCCACCAGCGGCCCTGGCATGCACTACACAGTGCGGTACAACTGTAGGAGTCAGGCTGTAGTTTCTTGCGGCAAGCCACCTTCAACAAGGAAAGAGACGTGATCCAACGTGCCACACGCTTTCCCAATGCCGCTAGGCACGTGTTGAGACCAATTGTATCCACCTGCAGGCCAAGTGCGCACGCGCCCTGAAAAAGAAGCATTGACGCATGCCAGCTACTCCCTTGACGACAGGCTGCTATAGCAGCATTGCAAGCGATTGTATTGGGTTCAAGCTTGCGGTCAGCAATGTGAGTCCAGGTCAGCAGCGCGAGCTGCCACAAGCTCCGAGACCCGTGGCGGCAAATGGCAGATGTGAAGTCTCGCAGCTTCGAATCTGCGGCCAGAGCAGGCCCGCGCTGTTGGGTGCCACGCGCAGGCAAGCTGTCGAGCATCTAGGGTCCCTACAGGCAGGAAAGCCTTCTAGGACGGCCATCACCGAAGCCTCTGAAAAATCCACTTTCTTCCGGCTAAGTTGGGAGTGGAATGCTACCCTTGAGCCAAGGGCTTTCACTTCCCGAGCCATGGGTTGTACGATGCCTTCGTACTTATTGAAATCTGCCAAGGTTCTTTTTTGTCCCCTTTCGTTGATAAGGAAAACATTTGTTTTGGCTCCAGTTTGAATAAACCGGATAAACCCAGTGTGCATGTACATTGGGCACAGAGTAGGAGAATAGAGTAGCCGGGAGAACCCTTAGGAAGTGTCCGGACTTTCTTGGCGCCAAAGCCACAAAGTTGGCTCTATGGGGCATGCCCAAGGCATGACATGGCCACGTGCTACTCATAAGTTGTCACCCTCCCATCCCCCCCCCCCCCAAAAAAAAAAAAAAAAGGAAGAAAGGCAAGCGAGCCCCCAGTCATTTTATCGTTCTCTGAACCGTGCTGTGGCCGCCAGCACGTCAAACTGCATCTAGTTGCTGTCCGCTGGCTCAATGCCACCTGCTGGTTCTGCTCAAAGCTCCTGAAATGCATCAGAGAATTGCTTTTGAACAACATGTCGCCTGGGCAATGAAGCACACGAGGTCACAATATGACCACCCAGCGGCGTGTCGCTTTAGCTTAAAACCATCTACAGTAGGCATCATGCTCCACAGAAAGGCTGCACAAACTCGCTTGCCTAAGCCTTTGAACTCACATACACAGGCTGAATTCCTTCTTATCAAATCCAAGATGGTGCCCACTACCCAAGGCTGCATGGAATATACACTTTGGTTTTCCTTGGGGGTAATGGTTTGGCGCTAGTGGAAACCATCTTAGGCCAAAGTGAAAATAAAGTGAATATGGAACGTCAGCCAGCACCAACCACACTCCTCTCTCTTCCTGTGTTGAGCCTTTGGTGTTTCTCGCGCCTTGGCTGCCAGTTCAGCTCGCTTTTTGAGGAGCTTCAATGTGGCTTCGTTCCCCTTTGCCATGTCGATGGGCTTCTGCCTCGGCGCACCAGAAACTGGCAAGGTTTCAAACATGAGCCGTCAAGGTACCAGGTTGAATGAATCTGCTGTTGCTGCTGCCGTTGCTGCCGCAGCCGCCGCGGCTGCTGCTGCTGTGACTGCCCGAGCGCATTGTTTCGCAAAACGAGCTCGTTTGCGCTTTGCGTACGTGCGTGACCCAAAATGATAGCGAGCCCGTTCACCGGTTCACCAGCATGCCCGCTGAACAGTGCACACACATGACGAAATAATGATAGCGCGCCTGTTACACGGCGCACCAGTGCCAATTTTGCCACCACACAAATCACTGTTCTTCAAACACACTGGTCTGTCAATGCGAACAATGGTTTTCGGATGACCCTGAAGCGCCGCCGCGCATTTGCGCCGCGTCCTGCGGTCGCCCTCGTTCTTGCTCTTGTCCTGATTTGTTTGGTTCTTGCTGTTGTTCTTGCTCTTGCTGTTGGGCTTGTTCTCTTCTTTTTCGTCTTCTTCTCGCTGCTGCTGCTGCTGCTGTTGCTGCCGTTGTTCGTGCACACACGCCTGCCAAACAATAAGAACCCACACCCAAGCGTGTCCGCTCAGCGCTGTGCACACGCCTACCAAATGATAAGAACCCACACTCAAGTGTGTCAGCTCAGCACTGCACACTTAAATGGCTCCCAGAAGGAAAAATATCAAACCCTCGACTGGCGACGTGGCTGCACCCTGGTTCGAATCCGAACATCCTCAACAAGAAGAATAAACAGCAGGAGAAAGAAAAAGAAAGGGAGAGGAAGACTGCGTATTTAGGCTGCCCAGGAGAAAAAGGAAAAAGGGAGAAAGGAGAAGAGAAGAGGAGGAGCAGGGAGAGGTGCGTATTTAGGGCATCCTGCCCGGACAAACACAGAAACAAATCTGAGAGTAGCCTCACGCCCAGCCCAGTGTCTGAGACTAGCCTCAGGCCCAGTCCGCAACCGCTAGTTCTTTGTCTGACGTGTCTGAGACTAGTCTGAGGCCCAGCCAGCAACCCACCCAAGCTAGGCCGAGCCCGACCAGACTGCCGCGCTGACATCCACTGCCCCAGCACGGAGCGCCACTGACTCTTGTCTCCATGACTCACTCCTGGTCCCATGCATCGCCTTGCCCTTGCCTCGGGTCGGGGATTCCTGCACAACTTCGGCCCATGACATCAATTGGTCCAACGACGCCAGCTGCTTGCAGTCCAACCACAGACGCTGCGCGCTCGGCTGGGCCGAGGCGGGCAACGCGCAGCGTTTACAATTACAGCATCCTGCCATACATATCCTCTGGGAACAAGTAACACACAACGACCACCACAAAAAAATTAGGCTTCAAAAGGACTGAGTAACTGCGGTCCTGGCTTTTCTGCGCACTTGCAAGGGAACCACCAAGGGCAACATTTTTGAGGATGGGGCAAACTTCGGCCAACCACTTCAAAGTGTCATGTTAACGCTTTACATTTACCAACTTTACCTTTTGCATACTTCAAACACAGTGAGAAATTATGATTAAGATCATGTGCGGGCAATGCGAGGTCTCGGACACATCTTCGTCTTGAGGAAAGCTCCACGGCAGCGAATGTCGTTGGTACTTTGGGACTAGGCGTTGAGGAACTCTCAAGGCACAAACCCATGAAAGCCATCAGCGTCAAAGGGAACTGAGTAACTGCGATCCTGGCTTTTCTGTGGCCTCACTCCATGCTCTGAGACTCTGAGATCGGGGCCCGTTGTCAGCGGCTTGGTCAAAAGGAACGCCCGCTTTCAAGAAAACCCGCACCGTGTCTGCGTGCCGCTGCTCTCGTCCCCAGCACGCGCGGTGGATCGGAGTGAAGCCATCTTTGTGCCTGTCCTTACTTGCCGAAAGACTTGGAGAAAAGTTCACCTTTTGGGCCCCATGACTACAAATCTGGGTGAATTATAATATTTCACCAGTCTGAAATAAGATGGCTTGGGGAGTGTTCCATGCATAAACCACCATTTGGGGTGAGGTCGTGCGAGGTGGTTATAATTCACCCAGACAAATGGACCGGAAAGGGTCCAAAGCAAAAGGTCAAAAGGTCGATCCGCTTTGGGCAACTGAGCATCACTGGGGTCAAGGCCATGGGCAATCAGCAGCTTGGCGATCTCAGCTCGGCCCTGAAATCCAGCGCCGTGCATGGGCGTATATCCGTCCTTCTCCGGGATGGAGGTGTCGGCTTTTTGCTCCAGCAGAAACTTCACAGACCTGGGGTTTCCAGTGAGGACTCCGTGCATCAAGGGGGTTTGGCCTCCCGGCCCCACCGCGTCGAGGCCTTCACCAGCATCCAGCGCTGCTTGGATGGAAGCAGGGTTGTCTTCCCGAACTGCTGCATGGATATCCCCCCACGCCACGCACCATAGCACAACATGCAGGAGCAAAGCCATAGCTAAGACAAAACAAAAAGAAAGCGCCTTTTGTGTCAAACAATCCCACCTAGGCTGGTAAAACGACTGGTGCCAGTGCTGTTTTGTTTTGTTTTTCAACTTGCTCATTTGGTTATCTAGCTGTCGTCTTGGGCCAATATCGCGGCCTCTCCGTGCTTTTGACGCGGCTGATGCGTGAGCGGGAGCAGAACCAGAATCCCAAGGGGCAGATCTGGCTGACCGCAAGGCTCGCGCCTTTCGGCGTCTCCATGGCCTCAAGCGGCAAGCTGCAGGCCTTGAACTCTAACCGACACCGACTCAAGCGGAATTTCAAGAACTGCCAAGGTCGTAGCTCGACTCAGAGGCGGCAAGCTCAGCGACTTGGGCTTTTGCACCCAGTCCAACCTCAACTGTCTAGAGGCAAAGGGTCAAAACAAAGGCACACACCTTGCATGCATCTTGCATCTCAGAGGCGCATTGCCTCCATGCTATGCTGACAGCTCATCGATGTTGGTAACTCCATCTCGTGGGAGACCACCGGTCCGGATCTGCAACGCTTTTCCTGCTGAATGTGTACTTGAAGCACTCTGTTTGGTAAAAGCATGCATTGACGGCACGATCGGTTTTTCTGGATGCATGTTTCGGCACTCAACCTACAAAGGCTCCGCATGGGTTGGCTACGGTGAGCCATTAAACAGTCAAGCGGGCCTGCATTGAACCTACAAGTGGCAACGTGCCTTTGGCCACTTCCGCACGAATTCATCGAATTGCTTTTTAATTCAGCACCAAGTCGGCAAAGCTGGGGCGCCGGATTAGGCCATCAGCCAGCGGGCACACAGCGCGGATGGCGGAGCTCATGCGCCAGCGAGCTCTGCTTTTGCGGGGCCAGGTCGAGCCAGCTTCGAGTTTGTCCCATCCTGCATCACATCAATTCCGAGCAAGCCAAAAAACAGACACTGCACCTCACCAACCGAGAAGACAAACAAATACTAAGCTCAGGCGATATCCGCCCCGGACCACCCCGGAGCCTATCTGGGCTGAGACCCCAAAGCCTTCAGCTGTTGGGCAGACACTGCACCTCACAAATCTGGAGACATGGCAACCAGTCCTCTGCTTGTATGCCCGAACCTCTCTCGTTGGCACAAAGAGCTGATCGAGTTGGCAGGTGGGCTCCAAACGCTGTCGCTTTGCGTTTGGCTCCACTTCGTCGTACAACTCCTCGGGGAAGATATCCTTGGGGATGAGATTCATCAACGCAAAGCAGCGGTAAAAGAGATCCGAGGTGCCAAACACCGAGAAAGGGGGAGCATTGAAAGGAAAAAAACACACGGAGAACCACCATGTTGGAGGCTCCCCCAGAAAAAAAAAATCTCAGGCTGGCGGCCAGCAAATCGCAATGCGGCACGGAGCCGAAAATCGTGTCTGGATCCGTGGACTCCTGGCCGAGACTCCAAATGGGTCATAGATGAAAACTGATCGGTGTTAAACAGGGCTCCCTACATTTCCCCTTTAAATATTATTCCACCCTAAGAAAGCTCCCTTTTCAATTGTCCCGAAAGGAGCCACTAAAAGGAGAAATGCAGGGTGTCCTGTCAAAATTCATTCATGGCGGCTGCACCCATGTAAAGGTCGGGGGCTAACCCCCTACTGCAATAACCTTCAAGCACCTGGCCGTTGATTGTGGCTCAAGTGTCTAAGTTTTCGGCATGCGCCTGAATCACTTGAACCACCTGAACCACTTGAAACGCCTACAGGGGCCCGTTTGATCCTGCTTCAGCATTGCCGCCAGGTAGTCCCCGTCCCACTGGGGCTTGAAGCCATCTTCACCAGGCCCAACTGCTGCGCGCCAAGAAACGGGGATCCTTAAGCGAATCAAAGGCGGCCAAAGCGCGGCTTTCCACCTGTCCTGCCACCACCTGGGCATGAGTCAAAATTAAACCATCAGGGGACCGCATAATGCTGACACCCGATTAATCATGGGATAGTCAATAATGCAAAGTGTTTTCCTTATTGTGGTTCACTCCCCATTGTTGATGGGGACCAGAATAGCTGAAAGTTGTTTTGGCCTGGGACAAATTGCTGATGGTTTCCCACTTGCTTTAAAGCATTCCTCTTTTAAATGGTTGCTCAAACACAAAACCCAAAGCCAGCTGCAGACTCTGAACTTTGAAAACCGCAAATTCTTTACTAAACCGTGTTTTAAAAATGAAAAGAACAATCAGGACAAGGGTACCCCTCACAGACCCCACTGAACCACAACAATGGCATTCTTTAGGGCGACCACAGTAGTTGCAAGCCCCCAGTCCCCTCCAAAAGCATTCCCCGTTTAATTGGTGACCCACTTACTTAAAAGCATTCCCCTTGGCCCACTTCAAAAGCATTCCCCTTTTAATTGGTGGCCCACTTGCTTAAAAGCATTCCCCTTTCAGTTGGTCGCCCACTTGCTTAAAAGCATTCCCCTTTCAATTGGTTTCTTTCTAGCTCAAGCCCTCCCCGGCTGAAAGGCACACCCTTTGAATGGCTACCAACGTACTAGTAATTAGTATTCCAAAAAGTATGCTCAGGAAGAAGTGGTTGCAATACTAAAGAAGTATTCCAAAAAGTCTGCTCAAGAAGAAGTGGTTGCAATACTATCCAAAAAGGAAGTGGCTGCAACACTAAAATAGAATTGGGCCCCAACATCCTCCATTGCTTGGACGTCCCAAAAGTGAGCCTACAGAATTCCAGTGCCTCCATTGTTGAGGAGGGGAGCCCTGTATTAATCAAGTTCCAACATTATTTTAGTCCATGTTTCCATTTACCAGGGTTCCATTTTGAGCACCTATTTTGACCCACAGCCACCTGTTCTCGAAACTGCAGGCCTGGGCACTGCTTCAAGAGCCTAGCCGACGTTAGAGTGTCGGGCATCTGCTCCCATTCCTTTGACAAAGCTGGAGGAGCTGCACGTTGACACCAACATGCCTGAGCTCGTGGGGAGACTCTGAACTCGACCGCATCACCTCTCAAACCGCGCTGACCAAAACTTGGCTGAGGCCAAAGGCATTGCCCCTGGTCGTCCTAGCTTGATCGCGCAGAAGTTGCACCTGGAGAAAGAGGACAGACTCGATTGAACAAGTCCAGGCACCTCTGCAAGACTCCCGACTGGCCTCTTTGCGAAGACGGGACAGCTCAACCTCAGCCACTGCCTTCGCTGCCTCTGCTCGCTCTGCTCGAAGCCGGAATTGCCTACCTACCCGAATCGCAGGAAGGCAAGGACCATAGGTGTCCTTTTAGGGGAAATAGATGGGTTTCCCTCGTAGATGATTTATCCACCAGGTAAACCAGGAATCGCCCTCTATTGTTCAAACAAAACAACCAAAAAGGACACCTATGACGGGCATCAAACCATCCACGCCGCGGTCCTTGGAGTTGCAGACCGGCAGCCTTGACCAAAGCCGCCTGCCATGCGCTCGCTTGCGACATCCGGCGAAACGTCACGCAGCGCCGGCCTCGAGTTGAGACTTCAGCCTTGGCTGCCCAAGCGGATCGCAAAAGTATAAAGTTTGGGTTTTTGGGGGGTAGTGTTTTGGGGGTGGTGGCCTTGGTCTTAGAAACCACGATTTGGGGGATCTCTATGTCCAAGTTGCTTCTCCGGCTGATCGGCATGGCGCATCATGACACGCGCCATTCTCACTTTGAGCCGTTGCCACAGGGCTTGCTGGCGCATAATTCCGACCCGCCCCCTTCTTGGAATAGTTGCCCGCTACGCCAACAAGATCGAAAACGCCATCGCAACAGGCCTACAAAGACATCCCCAAATGGCAAATCTGAGCCACCACCGCACCATTCCGTTCCCGCGCAACACGTCGACACACGTCCGCTCCAACTGTCTGACTGTCTGCGCCTTTTGCAACTTGCCTCCAAGATCTTCCAATCACGTAGGTTGCCTGAGCAAACCCCAAGTCCATGGTGAATCATCCAGGTGGCACCTAGCCACCAAGCACTGGATATCAGACCACCTGACCACCTGATCACCTGTCCTCTTAACCCTCCTGCCAAAGACACCTGTGGGGTCCCGAATTGGAGCTAGGCAAAACTGAGAGCACATTTTTGCTGCATTCATGCAGGAGATTCGCAAATGTGCGAGAGCCCTGGCCCAGTGGGCATACTTTCGCTCGTCGCACAGCCAGGTCAAGCATGTTATGGTGTGAGTGAAACCTACCCTCAACTGTCAAAGGCTCACTGCTCTACAGACAGCGTGCCCCTGGTCATTTCAAGCAGCGATCGCACTGAGGATTCCAAGTCAGCCTCGGAACTTTGTGGTGTGCTGGCCATGGGTCGAAAGAAATCGTACCCCCAGTGAACATCCCAATCATTCCCAGTAAAATAGGCTCCAGAATGGGTGGTGCGCCTACCCCATCTTTGGCACCTTTGGTTCCCACGGCCTTCTCTGCGCAAAGTGGCAGCAACGGTGACAGAACATCAACCCGAGACGGCGGCATTTTCAAAGCCGCACTCCTCAATGAGGCGTTCCAAGTGCAAAGGCGCCATCTTCACTGCTGCATCCTGACGGGAGCAAGCAAACTCCAATGCACGCCGTTCGAGGTCTTCGCTTCACATGCTTGGGGACCTCACGTGACTTGTGCCGCTCAGTCCTTTTGAGACAGCAATGTTGAAAGCTCCTCCCTCCTCGCATCAATTCGCGATCGGGTCGGCAGGTCAGTGTGTCAAAGCACACCTGATCCATCCCGCCTGGATGCCTGGGTGGTCTTTATCTGAATCTGCTTCGCTGCTGCCAGGGTCGCGTTGTTCAGGGCACCAGCAGCTGGACCTTTCAAAGTCTCTTCCAGTGAGTTGGCCGCCTGGAGTCGGGAAATGTCAAAAACCGCTACCTGGCACTACACTCGAAACCAAGGACCCACGGGTTCCGGTTTCCACCGCCTGAAACGCGCCAACCCCCGGTGACGGAGCTCGTGCCTCGAAAGGGTCCGTCTCGAACTGCTGCAGCGCCGCTTCGATGCCCCTCTTCGCCTCGTCGCGGCCTTGTTTCTTGGTCTTGTCTCCTGGCCAAGACCGCAGCTGGCTCCCTACGAACGGCTGCCTGGCGCAGCTCAACATGCGCAAAAACTAAAAGACGAACAAGCAGAAGTCAAGCAGCCCAACAGCCGAGAAACTAGAGCCGCAAAGCCAAGCTAGGAGGTGAATCAAAACATGAAACCAAATCAAACAAACAAAAACTAGAGAAAGAAATTATGAAGCAAGGAACCAAACATTCAAAAAGCCCAAAGCTAGAAGTCTACAGAAGCCCAAAAATCCAACTCGGCACATAGCCAATGTAGATACAGTAGGTCAAGAGTTGCGTATTGGCTTGCGCGGGAAGCCTGCACAACTCCAGGAAAAGGGCACCTTGCCATCCAGCTCTGGGCGGGGCTGCTTCGCGAAGGTGTGCGGGGTACGCACCGCTGCTGCACGCGCAAAAGCCGGACAGGGCAATGTCGACATAGCTGCCACCGGAGTCAGCGATGTTGCTGGCCCTAAAGGAACGCGCCCGAACCCAGGTCAGCCACGGCAAAGAACATCAACCAAACAACTCACGGTGCCCGCGCGTTTCATGCGAAAACGCGCTCTCGGCCAGCATGTTGCGCGTGCACTCGTGCCATGAGGCGTGCTCTGGGCAAGCCTGTTTCGAACAAGCACGCTTTGTGCAACCATGAGCTGGGCAAGGGCGTGTGCTCAGCCGCGGAGCCGTCCAGACCACTGACTGCGAAAACAGTGGCACAGTACATAAGTCAGTGCCCAACTGCCCACAACTCGCAACAGTATATGCAGTATATGGCACGAGCAAGTTCCATAAGGGTCTTGCGAATCTCAACACATTGCAGACGTAGCTGGCTTTCGAGTCACACTCATGCGCACCTTATGAGCGATCTCTTGCTCATGTGCGCCCGCGTCAGTTTCACATGTCGGGTTCGTTTGCAGTGTTGCGAGGGCTCTCTGCATGTGTTTGTGCATTTGTTGTATTTCACGCTTGCGTAGATTTCCCCCTTCCACCCGCCAAATCACCACAAAAGAAACAGTGCCTTTCCCTGCATGTCTTGCTCAGGTGCATATGATGCAGCAGCCACTGCTCCAAGTGCTGCAGCATTTTCAGGGCTCTTGCAAGGATTCTGATGCCCTGCCTCGCTGAGACCCTATTGCCAGGCTTCCCCATATACTTACCTGCCTCGGGCAAAAACATCGAAGCAAGGCCACCAGCAAGGCCTTGCTAAACTGCTGCCACGTTGCACACCGAATTCTCCACGAAATTTGGCCCATGCTTTGCTGACGGCAGACTTCGCATCTTCAAGGGATGATGCCAGTGCATCAACCTGACTTGCAGCGCATTCTTGGAACCCGCATGCTGGCAAGTGTGCGGCCAAAGCTTGGTCTGGTTGCAGCCGACCTGGCTTGACCGGGGAAACCATGGCCATTTGAGCTAAGACGCCTCCTCCTGGCTGGCTGCAGTCAAGGCACCATCCTTCAAAGCAAAGGGCGCGTTGGGTGGCTCGAAGATGGTCTCTTCAGCTGCCTGACGTGTGGAGCCGGACAGCTTTAGCTCTGTGCACATGGCAGGGCCTTATCAAGAGCATAGCCAGATCGCCCAACGTCATCCACCTTGCCCGCCGTCTCCCCCTCATCCTGACAGCCACTCCAACACATATACGGCATGCCAAAGGTTTGGCTCTGGTTCAAAGCTCCTTGTCACAAGGTCCACAACCGCAGTGTTGCTGACCCATCCTTGGAAAGCACCCAACTGGAGTGGCAAATGCTGCCACTCTCAACCTAAGGGTACCGCCAAAGCGCGAGCTCAGGATCTAACTACCAGGAACAGGGGGCCAGAGCGGCTGCATCCACCCAGAGTAGGAAATGCCATGCCCTTCGCCCTCATTGGCACTCCAAGCCCAGCCCACTGAAATGCAAAGGCAACAAAGCCACGCAATCCTAAGCGTGATTACTCGTACCTCAGCCGCGGGTCGCTGTCATGGCCCATACGCATGCCATGGCATGCTCGACAGGGGTCAAACATGGCACATGTCCAGCAAGTAGGGCATCAAAGCCCTGCCCTAAAGACTTAGTGCAGCTTGCCCCCTTCCCCGCAAGCGCTCTGACATGCGCTCACTTTTCTTCACGCAGCCTAAAAAGGATCATACATCAAATCGTCCTCTGGAAGATTGTCCCAATCGATGGTGCAGCCTCAGCTTCAATGCTTTCTGCTTCTTCGTGCCCCGCCCCGGGGAATATTGTCCATCTAGGCTTCAGGCCATCTGTTTCCGAGCAAGGCACCCAAGGGTGCGCCAAGCATTCTTCAATCGATAGCCTCTGTGAGACGTCCTGCGCACCCAGCTTGTCCCTAGGTAGCTTGGAAATCGCAGCCGTTGAAGTGTCCTTCTTGAGCATTTTTTCCAGCAAGTCTTTCGCTTCTTCCGAGCAATGAGCTAGTGCACCCTTGTCATACTCGGACCTTGGCTAGATGATGCTTGCATTGTGCCTCACTCCAGTTTGATGTTTGCTACTCTGCTTCCTTGTTGGGCTGCTGGCTTTATGATCTCAAGCTCGTTCCTGATGCACCGAATCCAAGATTCACTGCAAAGCGTTCAAGGTCCAGATGGCTCACTGAAAGATGCAACACTGCCCGTCCTGAACGGCAGCTTTCCTGTCAAGCACGTAAACAAGCAGACTCCTGCTGACCTCAAGTTCGGAGGCAGGGCTGCGCACTGACAGTGCAAACGGCGTCTGAGCAGCGGACCAAACATCAACTTTCGGACAAAACTCAGGCGACCTCGGGGACATGGCCATGCTTCAGCCCAAGAAGCGTGCCGCCGTAAACCGCGCCACGGCTTCCCGCGCCTCTCAGCGGCATCCACCAACAGGAGAGATTGTCCTGCGCCGCGACTCGCGACTCATGCAATGGGACAATCTAATTTCGAGGCCTTGCCCTCCCCAGCTGAAGTTTGCCTGCTTGGAATCCGCCTGAGCGGAAAAAATTGACGGCCTCTTCGACGCTCTCGTCGACGCTGTCGCCCTCTGAGCCCGCGGCCGTGCCAAGTTTGGCCTTGGCCACCTCCGGCGCCATGACGGACCTCGGCGCGCCACGCGGGTTTGGCCGGCGGCGGCTTCTGGAGTTCTGGGGCCACCCACGGCGTCCCAACCACCGTCTTCATCGGGCCCTGGCTCAGGCACTTCGCAACCTGGCAACCAGGCACGGCAAAAACCCATGCGCGCAGAAGCACGGAAGCGAATCTGGGCGGCTGACCCCGAAGTCGATCAGCTTGACGCGACTTTCAAGGTCGACCATGTCTCCGGTCACCATCATGTTCCTTTGCATGGCCAGACCCGCGGCTGACCCTGATGTCTTTCCAGCAGTTTTCCAGCAGAAGGGGATAGCCATATGATGCCGCCAAATCGCCAACTGCAGCCAAGGCTCTCGGGTTTCAAATCTCGATGGATTACGTGGCTCTTGTGCATGTGGGCCAGCCCTTCTAGAACCTCCAGCATGGACATTGCTGCCAAAGCATTCGCTGCACTCCATCACGCCCAAGACACTGCTATGACCATGCCAAACAAAGATGCATGGCGGGCACAAAGAAGTTGCTTCATTCGTTTGGGGGGGCCAGGGGCGACGTACAGCTTCGTTCCAGGCTCAGGACATGGAACCATGTAAGGAAGTAAGAAGGCGGCCGCTCCCTTACTCACCTTCATCCCGGGTTCTGAGCACGTGGCTCATATGGGACTAAGAAGTCCCAGAACCGCCGGCCTGGAGGAAGAGGTGTCTGGCGACCGATTCCTTCATCGCGCCGCCGATGGCCACGTGCTCGGCCAGCTCGCGGCCCTCCACCACCTGCGGCAGCACCGCGAGCTCCGTCTGGCGGGCCATGGGGCCCGGTGGTTTGGTGGTTAAGGAGCCTATTGTACACTAGAACCAGAAGAACCCATTTACCCTACACAAGAACCCATACCAAGGTTCAAACCCCCAAACCACCAATCCAGTTACGGGAAATACCTTGAATTCCAGGAGCAAGAAGAAGCCAAGCTCGCCAAACAGTCAGGGCTGAAAGGCGATGTAACTCGCAAAGAAGCACCTCCATAGCGACCAGCTTGTAGTGAGGCCGCGTGTGCCCGGAAGAATCCATCCGCGTCACTGTGGCAGTGGAAATAAGGCTGGCCTTGGCAAAAGCTCCCATTGATTCTGTTTTTGTCCGCCACTCCGCGTTTGTCCCCTCCCCCTCCCCCCCCCCACCCCCCGAGTGCAAGGCCAAGTTTGGGTGTGTACCAACGGCCCTGAGGGTGTCAAGCTCAGCCTCGATAGCCTTCAGCTTTTCCTCCTCCACTTCTTGCTTGACACATGGGTCAGAATCAAACCCCGGCAGTCAAATGGCCAATCCCCAAAACCAGGGTAAGCCATGGTAAAGAATCAAAGAGGGAGCCGCGCCCATGCGTGGTTAACCAGGCGAAAAGAAAAAGAAAAACAAGTGCCCGATCCAAACCCGTCCTCGCAGCCTGGCTCCAAGACCAAGCGCCAAGTCGGAATGACCTGCACAACCCGAGGGCTGACCGAGAGGCAGTCGCAAACCCTGAACCCCGCGGAAATGGCCTTGATGGCAACCGCTTCGCCATCTTCACACAGGCCCCGGTACCTTACTCTCATGTGGCTGCCAATTTGCGGGGGGGTGCTAGCAAAAGGCAGCTGAGGTCGCCACACGGTCCCCTGCCAAGCACGGCTCTCTGGGGTAAGAGGCCAGCGGCTTGCCCCGCCTGCGCCCCGGAGCCAAGAACCTGGTCGGGTAAAATCCGGTACTTCTTCCCATTGTCGTAGGTCACTTCCATAATTCTCGGCAAGGAAGCAGGCTTGGAAGAGTGCAAGTGAGCACTGATGTCATTCAACACTTACTTCTGAAAAGCTCCACGAATAAAACTAGGGCCATGCATGGCAAAGCGCTGAAAAACATGAGGGGATGCAAACATTCAGCTTCAGCCTACTGCATCTGTGGCATGTTGCGTCTGAGGTGGGGTCTCTTTAAGTCCTGCTCGCCGAGACAACCTGCGCGCAGAGGCAGCAAGCAGCAAACCGCCCCACAGGATGATGCACTGCCTCGATTGAGCTTGGCATCTTCTCTGGAAGCAAAGCGGCAGCCCACTCGCCAACACTGCCGCCAGCCACGGCAACTGTCTGCTCTGGGCTGACTGGGCTGGCTGGGCTGCACGTGCACGAGGCCATGGCGCACCCACCGCACCAGTCAAAGGAGCGGCGGCTACGAGGGCCATCGTGTTCAGCAAGGCCAGTGACTGATGCACAAACCAATTGGGCATGCTGTCTTGTTGCGAGCTTGTAGGGCAAAGCGGCACTCAGGCAATCCAGCATCCAATTCCCGAACTCAACTGGTCATCTTCAGAACTGTTGCAGTAATCTGAGCAAAGCAACGGCTGCTGGATGGCACGGTGCAGCCCAGCCAACTTCCAACTTCGCCCCAAATCGAATCTTCAAAAGTTGAGCCACTTTCGGCAGGGATGCTGAGCCAATAGGAACAATCAAGCCACGCATGAAGTGGGCTGGCGATTCACGAAGTCTCGCCCAAACTGGGGCCGGAGCTCTGCTCCTTCGCGTCGAGAAGGCCCTGCCCACTGAGTGCCTGGCGTACTGGCCACCCTGCTACCTTGCCTGTCCCCATGCACAAATGTTTTGAAGCCCTGGGTGAGGTCGCCAGCGGATCAGTGGTCTGACTTGGCCGGACAGACGTGCGTACACACAAACGACCTCGCTGGCATCGAAAGGAGCAAATCGCCATGCGGCCGTCAGCCAAATTGCTAGGAACAGGGTCAGCAGTTCGCTTGGCGCCGCAGACAACGGAGACGTGCCAAGTTCTGAACGTGGGATGATGATAGCTGACAATTAGAACCCCAGTGCCCTGAAGGTCACGTGGCGTGGACACAGGAAACATGAAAGGAACATCAGAACGGTTGAGAGGAGTATAGGGCTCCTTCTCTGAGCAGCAGCGCATGCAAGAATCAAGCCACCGCAATGTCACAAATCACTCAAGGACCTGGACCACTGGGAAGCAGAAGGCCGACAAGCATGAAACTAGCAATCGGCCTGCCAGCCCAGCTGCACAAAATCAATTGGCCCCCGAGGGCGATGCCTAATGCATCTAGAGTGGACTAACTTCATGGCTAAGCTGCGAATACATTAAAAAGCTGTCTCTACTCAAAGGCCCCTGACTCGACGGCTGCTTTCCTTTCTTTTTCAGCCTGGCGCGAACCTGTCACACGTACGCACAAGCTTAGTCCACCGCTCCTCGCATGGTCACCTCCCGTCTCGCGAGCCGGAAATTCTCCCAGGCCGCGGGGTTCTTTTTCTGGGGAGGGAGCCGGGGGCGAACCTGTCCGTCCAAGATCAGCAGCATGCCCTCGCGGACATCCTCATACTTTCGCAGCGGCGCGAAGAGAGACTCGACCTGTCCGCTGGCTCGCAGCAGCAACGACTCAACCAGGTGCCTGAGGAAGAGCCCCAGAACTCCGCGCATGCCTTGACCATCCCCAAAGCGCGTGAAGCGGACGACCGACAAAGACAGTCCCACGCTGGAGGACACCATCAGGGCTGCACAAAGCTCGGCCAGGCAAACTGCTGCTCGAACTCCGTAGGTGTGAGCTTGCTGGATGTGCTGTACCGCTGCCCGCTTCATGCCATGGGAGAAGCGCTTGCCAGCCGGAGCGGCTTGGCTGCAGAGAGCATTCGCCACATGAGCATAGAACGCATTCGGCTTCTGCTCCCGCACGGCGCAGTGGAATAGCACAATGCACGTCTCAGCATGGCCGGTCTTCACCGACGCCACCGTCATCAGCCTCTCCACCGCATCTTCGCAGTCCTCCGCGCCCATGAGCGCCACAAAGAGCCCCTGCCGCAGCTCTGAAGTCAGACGCTGCGCGACGGCGGCCTCGCGCAGCGGATCGGCTGCGGCCCTCACCTGGGAGCGAACGACGCCAGCCGTCTCCTGCAGCCGCGGCCAGTTGCCGGGGATCGCATCGTGAAGGACCCGGAAAGGCACCGGCAGAACGTGGTCGCTCACTTTGCGGCCCTTCAGCACGGGCGTCGACTGCAGCCAGCCACGGGTCTGGTTGAAGCGGTCCATGACCGCAAAGGATACCTTGTTGTTCTTCAAATCGGCCAACTCTTTCAGCAGGTAGTCCAGTCGAGATTGCATTTCAGAGCCTTCTGACGCAGCTTCCCTGGCCGCACTTGCTTCGGCGGAGGCAAAGCGCAGCACTGCACGGAAGTCCTCTGGACACTCAGACCGCAATTGCCGACCACCGTATCGCAAGATCGTGAGGGCAAGCTCAACCGAAAGTTCTCCAACTGGCTTTTTCAGCACAAACTGTACAAAGTCAAACACTACGCTCCCTGGCAGCATGCCGAAGCTGAAGAAAAGCATGCAAAAAACCACGCAGTTCTTCGTGATGCGCGCATCAGCATTGATGGCATCTGGCTCATCCACACCAGCCCCCGCAGACTGGAACTTGTCCTGAAGTAGTTCCGCGCTCTTGGTGAGAGCTGAAGCTCCAAACGACTGTCCAAATATGACGTGGCAGGCGGCCACCAAGGCAGCGAAGCAGCCCAGCACAAGCACCGAGATGTGTGGATCAGTGACTGCAGCGGGCACCAGCGCCTCGTTGAACATGCCCGCAGCCTTGACGGAACCCACTTCTGGCACCAGTTGGCTCAAGATCTTTAGAATCTCGTTGCAACTCGGCTCCAAGTTCCCTTCCGAGACACGGTTCAGTATGCCCTGGAGCTGGCGCTGAGATTGGAGCTCGTCTTTGCCCCGCAGATGTGGCGGCACATAGGAACCCGTTCTTGCCTTTTTAGGGGTGCCTTCATCCGCATCCTGATCAGGAACTTCGGCATCAGGTTCGCTCTCATCGCTGACCTGCTCCTCTGACTCAGCACCTTCAGAGTCCTGGCCGCCTTCGTCTTCCTTTTGCTGTGGGTTTGTGTCACCCTCCTCATGATCGCCCTCTTCTTCTGAGGTGACTTCCTCATCCTCCTCCTCCTTTCGAGCTCTTTTGCTGGGCCTTTCGGCTCCCGCCTTCGCCTTTGGTTTTGGCCCGGCTTTCGTATTCTCCACCTCATCTGGGCGTTGCCCGAAGTAGTGCGCCCGCCGCGCCTTCTTCTCCTTCCGCTGCTCGCGCCTCTGCAGCCGTCTAGAGGGCCGGGCAGTGGGCCACTCGCCAATCGTGCGGCCTTTGCCGCCAGCGCCCTTGGCCTTGCCACCCTTACCGCCCTTGCCGCCTTTGCCGCCTTTGCCACCCTTGGAACCCTTGCCTCCTTTGCCTCCTTTGGCTCCCTTGGAAAGCCCTTTGCCAGACTTCCCTTTGCCCTTGCCCTTTTTGCGTCCGGAGGGGTCGCCACCTTCCCGCAAGACCTGCCCCACGAAGCTCCGCAGCTCCTTCCGCAAATCCAGGTTTGCCATGGCTGACGCCGGATCCAAGAATGAAATGCCAAGCTTACCGTTTGGTGTAGCACCCACTCTAGCTGGGAAACTGCAGCTGCGTCCATGGTCGCATGGTCCTATCCCAACATCTCAACCTGGGCCCTAATCATGTTGCAGTCATGGCATTTGCAGGGCCAGGTGGGCAAATGCACAAAAGCAGTCAAGATGTCCTATTAATCCATGCCAAAGGGTGACGTTCATCAGATCTGCCATCTGCTTGAATAACTCAGAGGGGCGTGAGATGCATTGGGACCCTTGAGATTCTGCGGGGGCGCCGGCTTGGTACAACACACCGGACTTCTCAACTGCATGCTAGAGTACAAACTGAGTGCACTGGTTGCTAGAGAAAGCCGGCAGTGATCCAGAGCCTTCTGACACATCGCGCCTGCAGCCCAATGCTTCCGCAGAGGCCTGGCAACACACCAGTCCGAACCCCATGTTCTAGGCATATCTTGGTTTCAGTTCTTGATGACGTTCTTTCATTGTTTTTTGTTCTTGTTTTTTTCTCCTGTCTTTTTTTTATGCTTACTTTTATGTTCTATTTGTTTGTTTGTTTGTTTGTTTTTTTTGGGGGGGGGATCCACGGTTTCCCAAGCAAACGTACTAGAGTTTGTTGCTGCCTGGAAGTCTGCTTTGACGACTCACCTTTCTCTTTGCTTGCCGCTTTACACATGCCACTTGTTGGATCAGCTTGAACATGCCACTTATTGGATGCTTGCAGCTTGACACGGATGATGCTGCAAACGATGCTGAAAATCAAAACCTTAACTAGTTGCCCAGATACCCACGGCGCAACCCGACACGCGCACGGTCAACTAATCTTCTTTCACAAAATATGCCACAACAGCGAGCCACACATGCAAACATAATATGATTGGTTTATTGATGCTGTTTGCAGTCGATACAGTGTCACTCATCAGTTCATGCCTGTGGACACATGACCCGCACACGCGCTATGCCAAAAGAGGCGCACGATGCCTTCGCGGAAGAATGGATGTTGGATCCATTGCATATCCGAGCATCTTAAAGTCCCAGCCATACATCTCTCGCATGGCAGCGCTGAGCCCGTCCCAAAGTGAGTGCCATAAGCCAGGTTGCTTTGTAAACAGTTCTGTTGCCCGCGAGTTGTGATGGGATTCATTCTGGATGGACGGCAGTCGCCTGCAGTGATGAAACTCTCGGCAAAGTTGCCTTTCTAGATGCCGGATGTCTGTCTGCAGCGTCTCCAAGTGAAGAATTGCAAACGGCCGCTGCGAGCGTGCTGGCAATCGCGGGTCATCCAGCATTTCGCGAACAGAACGTGTGTGGAGAACATCGTCAGCTGCAACAACTCCTGGAATTCCATGGCAAAGGCGAAAGGCATCTGTCTGTCGGCTCACGTTGGCAAGCAAATTGACCCATTCGCCAAACCTTGACCAGTTGTTGTTCAACCTGGGGCCAATCCACCGTTTGTAGTACGAGGCCAACCTCATGTATGGATTTCTTGCCATGACCACGAGCAAGCGCCCGATGCCTTGCCTGCAGCACTGCGGGCACAGGAAGGGTGGCAGCACCAGCCAACCCGAGTTCACGCTTTGGTGCCAGCGGAGCGCCCGCTCTGCTAGGCTGCCGCTTTGCGAACGAGAACAGCCAAGCGATTTCAGGCTGGGGCATGAAGCGTTGCCCTGGTAGAAGCCATCGGCCAAACATTTCTGCGTCATCTGCTTATGGTGCTTTCGCAAGCACGCCGAAGCAAAACGAGCGCTGTCAGCGATACAACCCATGCGATGATCGTTCCGGGCCAGCCAGAGGAGAAGCGATGTTGAACCGGATTTGGGCACGGCAAGAAAGGCGATCGGCAGGAAATGCGGGCACTGCAGCAAAGGCGGCGGATGCTGCTGAAACTCATCCATACGGTCATAGATGCCCGTGGCGATGCAATTTTCCCAGCTGGGCGTGCCAACGGAAGCCTGAAGCCTTTTGCCCGGAGCGCCCATCCAAGCCACGCAGAATCTGCTGCCGAAGGAAATGCTGTCGCACCCACTTGGCGAGCAATGAGTCGCCTCTTGCAATTCGGGGTCCTCGCAGAATCTTGCAGCCCACCTTTCCGAACTCAACGCAGCGCAACCGGCCAGACAACAGCTCAAAACAAATGCCTTGCAGCCGCTGCACATGGCAAAGCATGCTGTGCCAATTCAAGTCACACGCGGCAAAGCACAGAACAAAGGATGATCCAAAATGGCTTCGGGCCAACACCGCGGCTCCCAGGAACTCGCAAATCCAAGAAAACCAACATTGACAGCGTGCGCCCTGCAAGAAGCTTGCAAAACCATGAAATTATCTTAGCGAGCTTCTGTGCAATCCAGTACTCAACTCGGAGACCAGGCTGGCCTGCAATTGCTTTAGCGAGTGCTTCTTCGTGCTTTCCAGATGCAGTCTCTCAGTTACAGCGCACAAAGCAAGAGATTGGCTTTGTGCGCGTACATAACTGCCAAATTTGCTTTGTGCGCGCATACAAAATTCCCAGACACCCCCTCACAAATGTCCCTGCACTCAACCGCAGATTTTGCAAAAAGAACAGGAAGGCAGACTCAAACAAAGAGCCAACCGCGTGGGGCTCGAGCACGTTCGGACAACCCCGCCAGCGTAATCAACCCCTTAAGACAAGGTTTACATCAAGTCGCGATCTGCCGCAAACATTTTCTTGGTCATATCCTCCATTACCCTTACGCCTTTTGCACAGCAAGCCTGGTTGGAACCATCCGAACTCCAGCGACTCCAAGGCCTCCCTGCCTTCAACTCCACATTTTGGCGAGTCCGTTCATGGCAGGCCCCGTTCCACACGGTTTTGCCGGTCTTGACAAGCAAGGATCTCAGCGCGTGTGCAATGGCCCATCCGCTTGCTCCTTTGTTTGTATACCCATGGTCAGACGGCAGAACATTGATGCACTCCGCTCGAAGGCAAGCACCTTGATTTTGGCACGCACTTGTTTGTTATAATAAAAGTGATGTTGTCTTTTCTTGGCCCAGCAGCGAGACATCTGGTTGGGACACGTTTCTGCTCACAGAGCCCCCACAATTGAGCACCTGTGCGGCCTCAACAATTAAAAGCATGCAACAGTCGGTTGTTCCAGCATGCCTCGCTGCGCGGCCGAAAATGCAACGTGCACAGTCTGCAAAAAGCAACTGTTCAGCTACACTCGCTGCAGCGAGAATTGAAAAAGGAGAGCTGGCTCAACTCTGCCTCAGGCCATCCATCGACCACGTCCTTTCTGAGGCTTGTATATCAACTCCTGGCAGCTCCACATAAGCAAGCAATCACTTGCATCAGGGAGGGCATAAATGATGCAAGCATATGCAAACTGTACTTTTTGCGAGCGGGGGCTCATTCTTTTCCAAATAGTCCCTGAAGTTCAATATCGAGCTGAGGTCTGCAGTTCTAGCTGCTGGCCCAGGTGGTCCGCGGCATACTGCGGAGATGGCCTTCCTCACGCTTTCGCTGGTGGCCTGAGCAGCGGAGTCACGAAGCACCGACGCTCAATGCAGCAAAATGCTCACCCGGCAATGTACTCATTTGACTCTCCGACCTCTGTGAAAGCCAAGCGGCCAAGTCAGGAAGCTACAGCCCACGTTAGCTTGCAGTGTTGGAAAACAAGGGCATAGTCGCCACTAAAGTTGTGTCACGAGGTGTGCTACGCAGGGACCTGGAGTTCTGTCTGACGTCAGGCATTGCTACATGGCAGGGTGTCCGCCAGGCCATAGCGAAGCTGAAGCATGGGGAGGAGGCCGCTGGGCCAGCACATGCCCGCGGGAAGGGGTCAGAAGGCCTACCCAAGGCCTACGGGCTGTAGATACATTACAGTACAGCACGCCATGTTACAAAAACGTATCTTGCTCTTTCTCTTTCTACCTCTTCCTGTCCTTCTCTCTTTATCTCCTTCTGTTTCTCTTTTCTCTTTTCTTTCATTATCCTCTTCTTCTTCCTCTTCCTCTTCCTCTTCTTCTTCTTCTTCTCCTCCTTCTTCAACTTCTTCGCTCTCTATCGGTTTCTCGCCTGTTTCTTTTCTCTTTCTCTGTCGTTTGTTTTCTCTTCTTCGCCCTCTTTCTCTTTTCTTTCCTTTTCTCTTTCACTTTTTTCTCTCTCCTGCCGTCTCTTCCTCTTGGCAAGAAATGCTTGCTTTGTTGCCACCCTCCCCGTTGTCAGCGGACCCTTTCTCTCTCGATCAGCAGCTCCAAAGCAAGCACCTCAGCAACTGAATACATGGATTGGTTTTAATCGATCTGCCAACCTATGATTCTCCACTACTTGTTCACTACTCTACCTATCCCATCTCTCCGCGCCAGCGTGGCCAAAATGCCACGCTTGCCACGCAGCCTGATCCCCACTCCCCAAAAAAATGTGTGCCTGCAACGCAAGCCGCGCCTCAGCTTGCCAAAGTGCTGCGTCATTCTTTCTTCATCTTTTCTGTGCGCAAAACCTTCCTTCAATTGGTGTCCGTATCACATCAAGGTCACCTACCATTGACAAAGGACTATCTCTGGCACCAACTTTGCGAGCAGCCGCTGGTGAACTCATATCCCTGCTGTTCGAAAAGGAAAGGGCAAACCGGATACAGGGAGCCATGCTGACCACACATTGCATTGTAGTGAGATGATTTAACATGCAAACATGCCCATCTCATGTTTTTCAGGAAACTTGGAAAGACAACTAGAAGAGGAGCGAAGAAAAGGCAGGCGTGCAGAGAACGACGAACGAAGAACCGGCGAGAAGAGCAACGAAACAGTTGCACAAACTGATGTAATCAAGCTCCATAAAGGAAGCCAAGGCTTAGAGGACTCCCGCCACACCTAGCTGCGAAAACAAAAAATGGACCACCTATGATTGGCAAGTACGGGCGGCGGCGGCAGCTTTTGTAGACGATTGGTTCAAGCGTTTTGTTCCAACAACTCTGGACATCTGCACTCACAAGGACTCCTTGTGGCAGCCGAAGCTTTTGCCTTCTGAGGGACATACGCGTCGATCCCACAAATCGCATCGGCTTCTCTGGCCAAGCGGCAGGCAAAGGAGAGGTAAAGTGTGAGGAAACGACCCGCTGAATGTTGGGCCATCTTCTCGGAATCTCATCCGCCAAGCTTTGCAGCCTGGCAAAGAGAGAGCGCGAGAGAGAGAGAGAGAGAGCGGGACTCAATGTAAAAACGGTTTACTTCCAGAACCTTGAGGCAACATACAGCAGATGCATCAGAGACATCTTGGCACCAGCGGCAGGCTCAGGCAAAGGGACAATTAAATGTGCCGAGCCGCGTTTCTGGATCCCTGCTGATCTGGAGCTCTGCTACAAAGCTTGGCACTTGGAAGCCCGTGCCCTCGACTCCAGCCGCCAGCCTCTGCCACTCCCCCCGCCAACCTGCGCGATGGGCTCGCACCGCATCGCATCGCAACGTGGCAACGTGCCGCGCCTGGGCGGCAGTCGAAGCCCTTGGCGTTCTTCGCGGGGCTCAGGCGGTCATCGAGCTTGGCGCACGGCGAATCTGCCTGCTGCCAATTGCACCTCGGACAAATGGACATGGGGCAAGGCTTTGAACTCTTGGGGGGGATCATATACAGGATCCCGGTCATTTGCGTGAAGTAAAGCCTACCTATCAAAGCATCGTGCGGTTCAAAGAAAAACATATGCCATCCTTGGTCTTCGCCGGCACGGATACCAGCCAAAGTATCCCAGCTCCGGCTGCGGGGATTTGAAGGCCAAGCCCAGCTGATCCGCAACCGTCAGGTCGCCTGGGGCCAAAAACGGGCAGACGGGTGTGGGCCAAAAATAGGTACCCACAATGGAACCCTTGTAACCTGCCGCCCCCTGGTGAATTTGATTTTGACCCCACACCCTCATGTCATAGAAGGAAGGGCATGGACACCGGGACCCACCTGCGGCCACTGACAGCAGGGATCTGGGATTGATGTTGTTGAGCAGAAGCGTGGACCTCGAAGCGAAGCAGCGCTGCAACGCTGCACGTGTGGCTCCGCCAAAAGTACAAGTCATGCGGTCCAGATGCTTTTGGTATCCATCTTTCAACGTCTGGCTGCTCTGTACATCAACCTGCCCAAGAGCGCGCTTTGCAGTCATGCCTTTCTACATGCGGCAGTGCGTCGGATTGCAAAGCATCAACGGTACGTGCGGGTACCTTCTCCAAAGTCTCATCGCGCGAGAACCATAGAAGCCCTTCTTTGTACGGTGACAGCAGCAGAATCTCAGGCGGCTCGTCCGACAGACCAATGAGCATATCCTGAAGCAATCATACAAGAGAGTCTGCCATGGATGGCTTTGCGTTTGCTTTGCCCCCTCACCCACTAACATGGCCATGGGTCTGCCAGTGAACTTCTCAATCCCCACTAAAAACAGACGAAAATGGGTGGTGGACCAACCCCAAAATGGTAGCATTGGTTTTGACCCACAGCCACATGCTCTCTTTGCAGTCCAGCGTCTGTACACACAAAGGTTCCGGAAGGCTTGTGGAAAAGCATGGTTTCTTCAAAGACCGTGCGCGGAGCATAGTCCACCGTCAGCTGCAAATGATCAATGCCCTGGCACTTGCCACAAAATTGACCCCACTTTTCAGCTGGCTGTGGGTGAAAACCCACAAAATAGGTGGCAAATGGATGTTCATCCACCCCAAAATGGAGCCATAGGTTATGCCCCATGGCCAGCTGCCGATCCGGCGTGATTACAGAACGCGCCTTGTCATGCCATGGTGCAAGAGTGGAATCCTTGGGCACTTGCTGCAGCTTCGTGCTTCTGGAGAATCCTCCGAAGGGAACCTGCCACACACTGCAACGTGGGTCGCACATGAAATGTAAAGTCCAAGCACAGCATAGTCCAATGAATGCGGTAGAGCATCGTAAGGTCCAAAATCAACTGGCCAACTGAATGTCCGTGGACTGACCCAGACCTGCACTCCGCCAAAAACCAACGCACCAAATCAGGTCACGTCATCATGCAACAGCCTCAGCATCGGGAAAACGACTCGCCCATTGAGGGGCGTAGTACTTATGCTCGATGGCCACCGTGCCACAAACCTCAGAACAAAGGGCTTCGCATCATTCAACTCAGATCAAACAAACAAAGGCCAAGAATCAATGTAGCGCACATCCGTCAAGCCCGCGTCTTTCAGTTGCTTCATGCACTCCTCAGCCAGCGCTTTTGCTCAATAGTTTGACGTGTCTTGTGGGTGTGGGCCATAATAATGCAAGCCAAAACGCTGCAGTGGGGTTGCAAGGATTGTACACCAAATACCCACCGCCTTCCAGACTCAGAACCGTCATCCGAATCGGGATGTTGGCACCTTGGAGGGCAATCTTCTTCGTTGTTCTTTGCGCACTGGCCACGGCATGAGGAAAAAAGAGAGAGGCAAAAGTGCTCACTCATGGCAATCCGCTGCGACCTCACAGCCCACAAGACATCTCTTGGCCTCCGATGCACTAGGCGCCCGGCCAACCCCCAGTCCCGGAATGCCATAAGCTTGGTCAAAAATCTGCACCCCCTCTGCAATCTTCTTCGTCACGGTGGGGGGCTCGGCCGCAGCCCGCGCAGCCGAACCGCCGCCCACGAGCCCCAGATTCGCCAGGCCCAGCAGCCGGCGCCGGGGCACGGCACGGCAAGCGCTGCGCGCCGTGCGCGCCGTGCGCGCGGCGCAGGCGGCGCAGGCGGCGCAGGCAGCGGTCAAGCCCAAGAGCTGGCCCCGGGAGGCCGGTGGCTGGGCTTCGCCTGGGCGAAAAAAACATATCCAATAGCTTGCCATGCAGGAATTCAGCTGAGCACCAGGGCCAGCATGAAACGTCGGACCTGGTGTGCGATAGGAATGGGCCGGGGCCACGTTCACCTGGCTAGCGGCATGAGAAACTACTTGGAAGCAACAAGTGCCGCTGCTGGGTGGGCAGTGCCAGCGTTTGACAGCAACATGTTGACTGCTCATTGCCTACGCGATTTCGGCGAATCGAAATGCCTGCCTGCGACAAGAACCCCAATGCCGCTGATTGTTCCATTGGTGCAGTTGGTTGTTTTGTTTTATTGGGTCTATGTTCAAGGCGTGGGTTTCAGGCATCATGAAAAAATGCCACGCCCATGACACAAATCAAGGCTTTGTAAGCTGCCATGTTGTGCGTGGCTTGGGCCAACCTGAGCAATGCGCTACCTTTGCCACCAATCGATGGACTTAAAGGAAATTGCTTGGGAAAAGGTGAAGCTGCTTATTTATAGGATTTCCCGCCCTTTGCTGCTTCACATCACCAAGATCCTGAAACTCCTTTGTTTCCCTCCAAGACGCCTTTGCCCTTCTGCCTTCCGCCCCTCAGTCCCATTCTGCTTACAACGCATTCCAAGGAGCCTGCCGGCGAAAACAACAAACCACGGAACCAGTGTAGGTTGACTTTGTTCGTGCCTGGGCTTGCCCCACATGTTTGCAGATCAATCCATCCCCGCTGTCTGCATTCCTCTTTCTGTGGCAGGCCCCTTGGCCAGGCCTTGCTAAACCCAATCAATGCTGAGATCAAAAAAACTTGATAGCGGCACAAAACCGACTGCGCATACTCAAAGACATCCCCAACAATACTGGACACACCCTGCCAGCAATTCACTGCACAACATGCCTCAGCACACACTTCCCCAAAGAACAAGCATTCCCAACGACATCCCCGCAAGCGTCCCGAAAACTAACCCCAAAGACATCTCCCCACACCGACAAACCTCAAACGAAGACCCCAAAAAACATAGAATGCATCACCCAACACAACTGCAAAGACACCCCCAATCGACATCCCCGAAAACGTCCCCCACAACGCCCTCAATCAAGGACATCCCTTTTGACACCCCCAAACTCGTCCCCCAAAGCCCTAATGCCGTCACCCCGAGACTCCCGCCGAAGATATTTGCAAGGGTGCCCCTTCAAGCATCACCCAAATCAACTGCAAAGACGCCCCAAAAGACATCCCCCGACACCTCCTGGCTCCAAAGCGTCGTGCCTGCCACGAAATCCGCATGTCGCTCCAAAGTATTTCGCCTGCTGCTCGCTCTTTCACCTGGCTGTTTGTTACACGTGGCTGGCTTCCCCCCGGGCCAAGCCAGGCCGACCTGACGAATGGCAGGAAAAACGCCATCAGCTGTTTGGATGCGCGAGCTGCTCTTGAACCTGGCTGCTGTCTCCGCCAGGTTCTGCGCGCTCATCTCCAAAGTGCTGCGCCCGCCGTCAAGCTTCGCAGCAGGCCAGTTCCGCTCAAAAGCACCGTTTTTCGCACGCCAAACCCCAGTCCCACAGCGTTCCACCTGCCACGGAATTCCACTCAGGCACAAATTGTGCGGCAGCACCTGCCGCACAAGTTGTGCAAGAAGCTGCCAAGTGGAGCGCCGCCACAAAATTTCGGCACAGAGCTTGCCACGAACTTAAAACTGTCCAAACACCTTCGCGACGTGTATCCAAAATTAGCCCGGGACTGTGGCGCCAGAATGATTTCGACCGAGTCAACGAAATGGCACTCGCACAAACTCTTGCGCGCCAATCCAATTCAGACGCCTCAAAACACCCAGAAATGCAAATCACACACGCACACGCGCAACAAACACTTCTCTCGCGCGGCGTGACGACGCGCAACGTCTCCACAGCTTCGACTACGTACAGGAAAACCAACATCTTGCAAGTCATAAAAACAAGGCATTCAGAGAAGACGGATGGCTGGCTCTTGAGCCAAAATGGCCCCAAGACGCGGGCTCGTTTTGGTCAAGTGTGCAAATCTCACTTTAATATGCCTCCCAAGCACTAGGATAGGACAGCATACTGTATACCCATGTATATCTACACATATATATTATATATATGTACATATTTGTTGCATACAAGACCATCTATCCCCTCAAAGTGTGTAAGCAAAAAAGTAACCGAATTCTATACTTCAATGCGATTCAATATCAATCATGTTTTGTGAGCTACCAATACATATATATATATGTATATATCTAAATATCACGATATACCAATGTCCAATGTATATTGACATATATACTTGTTTTCTGATTTGTGATTGTTCAAATATTAATTGTTTGGTCAAAACAGAATCTATGTTAATAGAAGATGGTGCCAACATAACAATATTCCGTGTTGAGCCCTTTCAGAACTCGATAGAACATGTAACATTCTCAATTGAAACAAAATGTTCAAACCAAAATTTCAACACAAATTTTGAAATTGAGCATTTTATAATTGGAAAGTTCGGCTGAACAACATGTCTTCTGTTTTCTTCCCTCGCGTTTCCTGCGATTTCCGCGGGGGAATGTCATTATTGCTTCTCGCCCTTTGCGCCCTCACCAGAAGCCAAGTCAGGGAAGCGAGCCTCGGAACATGTACTGCTCAGGGGTCGGTCGATTTCCCTTCAAAAGTTGCAATTTGCTGGTGGTGTCCGTTCAAACTGCCACTTTCGGAGGTTCCAAAAAGGGAAATGGAGGAACCCCTGTCCGTGCAACCAATGACTTTTGATCTGAGAGGGAGGCTATCAGCTTGCTCTCATCTGCCAAGGCAACCTCTGGTCGCATCACCTGGCATGGGCAACCCCAAAACCATTGCACTTACGACGCTTGATACAGGGAGGGGGGGTTGATCAATATTCCCTTCGGCCCCCAAAAGATCATGGGCATTTTGTCCATGTAGTGGTTGAAATATCGTCTCGTTGGTGGTTTCCCCCAAGGCAATCCCATGTTTACCTGACCTTTTGATCAACACATCTTCATCCCTCGAAAATGGCCATGCCTTGTGGATCTCCGCCAGAGTCTGCTTGAAAAGCTCGCCCTTTTCCTTGGACCGTCACCGGCACTCGGGGGAAGCCAAACACTCGGGAAAAAAACCTCAGCCAGGGGCTGCCGAGCCTGCAGCCGGGGCCTGGCCGAAAGGAAAGGAAAAAACACCTCAGAGCCCCAAGCCGACAAATCTGGCCGCCTTCAAGGCGTCCAGCTGCTCTGAGTTTGCGAGACCTCACTCTCACTTCTTCTTCTCTCCCTTTCTTTCTCTCGCCCTCTCCTCTGTCTCTCTCCCTCTCTCTCTTTCTCTCTCTCTCTCTCTCTCTGTCTCTCTTGCTCTTCTTCTTCCTTTCTTTATTTCACTGCTTTAGTTCGAGGAGCTTCCCGTGGCAAGCCTCTCTCTCTCTCTCCTTCCATCGCCAAGGTCTGACTGAAGCAGCGCTTCAACATGCAGTCTGACCTGCCCGATTTTCAAGTGCGGCGAACTGAAACTTCCTCAGACTCTGGCACATGGGCACCTTGGCTTTCCGACAAAACTTCAGGCGTGTCCAGTCAAATCAAACTGGGCTGCTGGCAACCTCGTTGTCAAGGCCCAGGTCTCGCAGAATCACAGGATCCACTGGCTGCGCGAGGACCTTCCGATGGTAGCTTCCCCAAGCATGAGGTCCCGCTCACCCATATCAGTATGAAGCAAGCAGAAAGCAAAAACGAAGAAGTCTGGATGGACAATGTCCATACCTGACTCACATTGCATGATACAATGATACCTCACACCACATGCCTCCAGCAAGCGAAAGAACAGGAGTTCCAAGGCCGCGGCGCTCAGTTTCATGCTCTCTCCGTACTTTTTGACCCTCATCGCCTGCCAGGCCGCCCAAAACAAGCCACTCACACCTCCTCACACACACACACACCACACCTCACCACACCTCACCACACCTCACCACACCTCACCACACCACACACACCACACACGCCACACCACACCACACCTCACCACACCCCGAGCCGAACGACGCTGAGGCGCTCACCGTCTCCGGCTCGTCCAGGGGCGCCGGCGGCAGGCTGAAGTTCACAAGCTTCTGCTCCATGCCTCAGCTCCGCCCCCCGCAACCCCCACGACTCCAGGGCTAACTTCCCCATTCTGAATCCAGGGATCCACATCCTTTCTAGAAAGCCACTAAAAAAAGAAAAAAAAGAAAAGAAAAAACGAGGAAATGGAACCCCTCACTCCTGGGCAGCGGAGTTTGCGGCTCCAGGAAGCCGACTCTCCAGCACCTCTGTGTACTGCTTGGACGGAGTCTGCTCCGCAGACAGAGGTGGTCCTGGGGCGCCAATTTCCCTCATGTCCCTCGTATGCCACAAGTACACTCATTTCTCGCAAGTCACGTGCACCGGCATTTCCACGTTCCTCCACGTTGCCCAAGGAAAAACAAAAAAATAGTTGTCAGAAGCCAGGTTGGACTTGTGTGTGTGTGCGTTTCGGGTTCAGGGCTTTTAGGGTTTGAGGGGATTTAGGGCGAAGGCTCAGGGTTTTGAGGGCTTAGATTTAGAGTGTTTTACTTTTAGAGTTTGAGTTTAGGGTGTTTAGGGTCTTCAGGTTTAGGGCTTGGGTTCTTTTGTTTTTGGTTTCTGGTTTCTAGGGTTAGGTGTCTGGTCTCTAGGGTTTAGGTTTCGGGTTAGGGTTTCGGGTTTTTGGAGTTTAGGGTTTTTTGGTTTGGGTTTAGGGTCGTTGATGGCTCAGAAATCTCAGAATAAGGAAAAACGACTCGTGAGAAACAAGGGAATTCGACTTGTGAGAAATGAGCGCGCTGCCTGGCCCAGCAGGTTGAAACAAATCAACAGCCCTACCCCCGTCCTCCGAGGAACTGCCGCAAGACGAGCGTCTTCACCTGAAAAAAAGGCGTCTCGCCGCAGAAAACCCGGCGGGGTTCTAAAGGAAAACGAAACGCGCCTCCGGCTCCAACGCCAGAACTCCCAGGAGGTATTGTTCTAACGCGGCCTGCGCGTTGAGCATGCGGGCAATGAGCGGTATGGCTGTGGTGGGCAACCAGTTGGGAACCCCGAAGCGGGGTTGCCCGATCGGTAAATGGAAACATGGACCAAACCTGCGGTCCTTGGGTTTTGATTTTTGCCCCAGACCCATATTGCGAAAACCCGCCCCTGCCTGACGCGAGGTGATGAAAGCGGGATCGTTGTTGCCAAAGAACCGTTTCGCCGGAAACTGGGGCCTCGGGAACCCCCGAGTCAGAAACAATAACAATAATAATAATATAATAATAATTAGTATTATCATTATTATTATTATTATTATTATTATTATTATTATTATTATTATTATTATCATTATTATTACTATTATTATTATTATCATTATTGTAATTATTATTATCAAAAAAAAAAAAAAACACACACACACACACAAACCGACGGCGGCACCGCAAAGGTCGCATGAGGACGGGACAGGTTCTCTGGATACCGCAGCTTCAGCTCGTCATGCAGCTCCCGCAGCTCCCTGTAGCGCCTAAAGTGGGCCCAGGTGTGACAAGCTCGTGTATGGGCGACTGGCGGACAGGGCGCTTCTGAACGTTCCAGCTTGCGCCATCTGAATTGGTGACCTCCCAAAAGTCGGCAATAAAAACCGGGTATCAACATGGCCTACCCAGAGCCATGTAAAGAAGTAAATTGGCGGCTGCGCCCATTTATGGCTGGGATTCTCCCTTACTAGTCTTCATCTACCCGGGTTTTGGCTGTGGCTCAAATGCTGTTGCGACATCACCACAGTCACCGCACTGAACCCGCGGAGCCGCGGCCTTGATGACATAAGTGGTATGTCCTTCCGCCGAAGTGTTCCCTATGAACTTGACCTGCGCGAACAAAAAGGCGCGACCCGCTCCGATCGATGTCCTTCACACTTTGAGTCGCAGGCATGGTACTGAGCTGCCTCACTGCCTCGAGTGTCAGGCACTGGCGGACGAACGACTGCAAAAGTATATGGCCAAGCAGCTCATTGACTGACCGCGTAGCTGCCAAGGAATATGCACAAAGGAGCTCTACTTCTGAACTCTGAGCAGCTTTGGCATCACGCACGCTCTAGACTGCTGAAGGTGTGGATTTTAAAAAAAAATCGACCACAGACATGACATCCTAAAACTTGAGAGCAACGAAGTATCTCACCATGGGCGCAGTATGGAACGACGGCACGAGCTACTCCCATCCCGAAGCAGCTCTTTGCGTGTCCTTTTCCGGTCTGGTCACTGGCCACCTGGCCCAGCAATGCCTGCAATGCAGCAACTTTACACTGGAGTGCCAGGCAAGCCACCACGCAAGTGTCCAAACTGACCATTGCACAAGCACATTTTCCCTCGCGCTACAGAGGCATCTCGTCAGGATTGCTTGGAGTGTAGACCCGCAGCCGCGGCATTTCAGGCACCAAGAAATTGGGCTCAAAGTCCGCGTCGTCAAATCCATGGTAAGCTGAAGCCTGCACCGATCACAAGGCCGTCTGAGAAGCACTGCTTGTTTTGGGATGGAGCTTGCGCTCTGTGACCTACTTTGTTGGGTGCTCGCACGTCCTAATAACCCTTGCTTTGAGAGGGGGGAGGGGCACACAACATCAAAGCAGCCTTTACGAGCATTTCAGCGCATCGACCGGCAGAATCTCTGCCGAGGAACACTCATCCAGTTTGAGAATGTGAGAAATTCTGCACGTTTAGCGCATAGACTCGCTGGAAATGAATTTCATAGAAGAGAAGCAGCGCAAGCAGAGCAAGGCTGCGCAAGCAGCGTGCTGCGGAACAAGTTCTCACTGTGCAAGGAGCGCTGGGTAGAACGGGCCGGCAATGGACAAGCAGCAGCATGAAGGTCAAGCTCCACAGGCCGGTGATGGACGAGCACCGCGGCCAACCCTCCAACGGATTGAAGGAGGTGCTCAGCAGTTGCGGAGGGGACGAAGGCAACATACGCTTCGAGCCCTACGGCAAGGTGATGAATGGGTTCGTCGGTGACAAGGTCGACCGGATAAAGAAGTGGATCTTAGACGGGATTCGGAGTTGAGAGATCATGTGCTGTGGGAAGCTGCATGAAGAAGAACGGAGATGGGAACTGGTCGGGGACGCGCTGTGCTACCAGACGGGGGAGGTGGAAGGGTTGGAGATGCTAGACCTGCTCCATTTGGACCGGATCTGGCACAACGATGATGAACTGGTTGGTGATCTAGATTTGGTCGGGGAAATGGAGCGGAACTTTGCGAGCGCGGAGTCGAGATTTTGATCAGCGATGCTCGAGGTCACCCAGGCGCTGGGGAAGAAGCGGAAGGTGAGGACCCCGCCGTTGTCGAGAGCAGGGATGTCGCCGGGATCAACGCTGGCCAGAAAGACACCTGGAAGATGGAAGCAGAGAGTTGGCAGGCTCGGTGGGGTGCTGCTGGACGTGGTGAATGGTGTGCAGCAGCTTTGGGAGCCATCGACGAGCTGGACAGGCCGGAGATCCTGGATTTGGGGAAGAGAACTGGGTTTGCCAGCGCGTGCGCGCATGAAAGTGGTGGTGCCAGCGTGGATGTTCAAGGGCACTGAAACATCCATGCAGCTCAGGAAAGACGGGGCCGCGCCAAGAAGCATGTGTGCGCGACTGCCTATGCAAGCGAAAGCGCGCCACTGCCTATCGAAACGAGCCCGGGCCCACAGCTGAGCACCGGGTGTTTATGCCAGCTCAAGCGGGGGGACTGCTCGCAAAGAAGCACGTGCGTGCAACCACCAGGGTGCCTGTACGGCATGCATGCCAGCCCAGGGACCGTGCACAAAAACGCCGGTGCGTCCAACTGCACACGGAGCGCAGAACACAAACGGTGCCAGAGAGCATGTTCATGTTTGCCTTGGGGCGGATTCGAGACGGGGTTGGATTCGAGCCTGGAGCCTCTGCTGAGTTGAGACAACGCAGTCTTCGGGAACCTCATTCTCGTCTACGGCACGCTCATTTGAGTCGGAGAGCCGCCATGATTGTAACAGGAGAAGGGCTCGCATCATCATTCGTGGGCCGTGAAAACATATTTTGTTGTCCAGCTCAAAGTTCATGTTTGAGTATGAAATGGAAAGGTATCTGTTTACGGGGGGCGAATGTTGGTCTTCGCAAGCTCGACCTAGGCTGGGGGACACTTCTGTTTTTGTGGGAAGTTCCTTTTTGTTTGCAGCCTGTTCGTCAACGAGAAGCTCGTCGCACGAGAAGCTGGCAGGAGAAACTCACTTAGTCTACGGGATTGTGACCTATCTGTGGGGCGCAGGAAAGCTACAAATAGTCTGCAGAGAAGTCTTAGGCTACAAAAATCCAGCTTTCCCTGCGAAAACAAGGGCCACCGATGTTCCTGCCTGCAACTTTTGCCAGGGCCGCTGCTCTTTCGGAATCTGCTTCACGGGTAAGCGTGCGGGTCCGGAGCTTGAACTGGCCTGGGCATCGAGTCATGTTCAATCTTTGTTCGCCTTAACCCTCACTGGGATTTGTGGATGTGGGGGATTTGGCGGGGTGGGGAGATGTTGGTGGCTCAGGGGTTAGAGGGTCCTGGTTAAAAAGGAACTGCGGGGAGTTAACCACATTCCCAAAACAGGTATGTGTGGCCTGACTCGCTGTGCATCTCCCCCCGCCCCCACCAGCAAAAAACAAAGCCGGGCGCATGTTTGAGCCCCTGACTGAAAGACTCCCCGGAAGGAGCGTTCTGCGCGTCCGGAGCTTTGCGGGCCGCGGCTCACGCGCCTCCGCCTGACCTGGCACCTCCACCGAAGGCTGCCCGGCCAGGTGCTCTTGCCAGGCCTTGCTGACTGCCAGCGGCTGCTTTGTTCCGGGCAATCGCTCCTTGGCTCCTTCCTTCACATTCCTAGCACTCACAGCACTCAACCACGCTCGGCATGCAAAACAGCAGCTGCGACCTACATGGGACGCGCTCAATGCTCCTCCTTCGTATGGCTTCGTCTTCTTTGGCTTTCTGCACGACCTGCGTTGCTCCGACCCTTCTCCTGCCAGTGCCTGTCAACCACTGCGCCTCGAAGCCCTGCTGCTGCCGAAGAAGATAGTTGCCTGCGTGGACGCACGGAAACCGATCATGAAAATGTGTCCAATGCAGCCGCGGTGCCAACCGCCACTTGCGAAAGAGCCTCCAAACATTAAGAAACAACAAAAAAACGAGCAGCCTGGCCTCTTTAGCTGGCCTGTCGCCAGTGCAACCAACCCCAAGGCCTGCATCTCCTCCGAGTACAAGCGGTGGTTTCTCTTGGCATCCTCGATCGCAAAAACTTTGCGCACCTGCATTCACTTCAGGTGCGATGTTTCCCGCCTAGACCCCACCCATGCAGCAGCAAAAAAGGGCCTCACTCGCGTCAACCTCTGAGAATCTCTCCGTGATGGTGCAAAAGCTCCACCTGCACACAGCGGACTGAGAGAGTGCAAATCGGGCAGAGCGGCAGCACAAAGCTGGGCTGTGCCCCGCGCGGTCTGACTCGCGAGGCAGGCGTCCTCAGCCCCAACAGGTTTCTGGCTTTGCTGTTGTCAGTGTTCTATGGGTCTTTTCCCTGCAGTCTCTCATTGCAGCCTCTTTTCATGAAAGATCCTTTGGTTTTATGTGTCCGGCACTAGGCGTCTGTCTCTCAATGCTGCCTCTTTTCATGAAAAGCATCTAGGGATCATTGCACTTCTGCATGTGCCAGTACTCTGCCCCATCAGTGCAACCAAGCCTCTGGTACAGCACTATCGCTGTCGTCTCCGCAGCTGCTGGCGGAGAGTTCTCTAGAGCAAGGCGAGTCGCTGTTTCTGCGCATGCCTCTTCCTGACAGGGCTAGGACAAAAAGGCTGCAAGGTCATGTGCTGTGCAGCTGCCTCCTGGATATCTGCGACTGGCATGAGCAGCTCGTCCAAATAGTCTTGGATTGGGGCAGCGGGTGCTTCCAAAGTGGAGGCGTCACCATCCTGCATGGGGACGCAAAGAGGATTGCGTGCTTTTCTGTTGTCCAGCAACACCTCCAATCCCAGATCTCCATCAGCGAGACAGAGCCGACCGCTAAGCCCACCCCAGCGGACAAAGCTGCCACCCCTTGCATCTCCCGGCGCGATGGCCTCACAGGTGGTTGCGCAGTCAGACTTTCCGCCGGAAATGAATTCCTAACTTGTTCCACAAAGGGCGAAAGTTTCTTGTATCTATGGATTTTCGTTGCTACAACTTGCGCCCACGGCGGGCACGAAGGACTCATCTACCTGAAATGTTTGCTGAAACCAGCTTGACCAAGCAAGCGCCAGCATGCGCACGGACACCACTATACTTAAAGCAGGATGGAAGGCGTGGTGGTGAAAGCAGCAACCCCGTGTTGCCGTGGCAGGGCTGCGCACAAGGTTGCCTAGCTCTCAAGAGGCAGGTAGCCGCGTCAGCCTGCGAGCCTTTCTGGAAAATCAGCCTCGTAGCTGTCTTCAAGGAGATCCTCTTCGTCATCCTCCAGCCTGGGTCAGAACCCCCTCCATGGCCAACTCGGATCAATGCAAGTCCTAGATGGATTCTTGTGCCGGTCTTCCAGCCAAGTCCCCCCACTGTTTGCTGCTCTCGGCGGTCTTCGCATCGCCGTCGCTCGAGCCCTCGTCCTCCGAATCCTGCCAGGCCGCACGGTCGCACTGCAGCTGAAAGCAGTCCGGCGCCTTTTCGTTCCCCGGCACGTAGCCCTCTTCCCACCAGTATCGCACGCCTCAGCTGTCCCGAAGCCGCATCTTGACCAGGCCCTAAGCTTGGCCGATCGGTTCGCGCAGCTGGGCGGCGCTTCTTGTTCTTTTCTTCTAAGATCACCTGGCCCTGTTCGGCTTCGTCCTTGGAGCACGGACATTGAAAGCTGCATCCACAATGCAGCCCACTGGGTCAAGCACCTGGTCTGGGTTGTAGGCTATCTCATTGCGCGGAATGTTTTTGGCCATGCGCTTTGATGCTGAAGCTGATGTGCCTTAATAGTTGTGTATTTCCTCGGCATCTTCCTGTTCGAGGCAACCGACATACCGGGTCATCCATCTCAAGCGTCGTGATTCTTCGCAGTACCAATGGAAAGCCAACCACGATTTGTCAAGTGTCTCCCACCTCATTTGCAACCTTTTGTCGTCTGTTGGCAGTGTCCCATGCGATTCTGCGGGCCAGCTGCGTGGCCTACTGCGCTATGCTTCATTAAAAGTCAGCTTCGGATCTACTATATGTAGGTGTTGTCACCTCCCATCCACCTCCCTAGGTTTGGCTGGAAGCAGCTGCAGACTTGGGGCAATTAAGTCATGTGGCAAGGCTGAAAAGCTGTTGCGGCCTACAAACTCTTCGCCCGCCTGCAGTTCTTGGCGAAAGGCCCCAGTGCCCGTGGGAATGATATGGCCTAAGCCCGTGGCCAAACAGTTGTCGCCCAAGCACCAAACACCAAGCACCTTCAACCATGAGCTCGCTGCGGCCTGGATGGTCAAGCCATTGGACGCACTCAGAATCGTACCTGCGCGCAAAACACACTCCAAATTCAGGAACATGGAGCCAGCCGAGGGTGCAGGGCTGCGAGGTCCTCGCTTCGCATCTTTGGCACGAGCGTATCGTTGGCACCTTCGCAAGCTGAGCGTATCTTCCAATGGCAGCACCAAATTTAAAAGGGCGCCAGGCCAGATACGTGCAAAGAACGAACCTTCAGCCTGAAATTCGACATGAGTCAAGGTTCAGCTTGAATTTGCCATACCCTGCATTCTCATGCAAAAGCGACTGAGGTTCCCACGGCGGTCCTTGCAAGAGTGCAGCCTGACAGACCAGTGAATCTCCAGCCGACGCGATCTGCCATTTCATGAGGCCGAGTCGCAATTGTCGGGTCGCGTGGCACGAATCCACCAATCAGAATCGCAAACTGCGCGCCGGCCAGCGGGTGACCTGCGGCCATCTGCGGCACATTGCCTTCGGCGCCTTGACCCAGGACCCGAAATCCAGGCCTGCCGCAGCCTGCGCTTCACGCAGAAGGAGGGTAGCCACCTGGGAAACAGGTGGCAAAAGCAAGTGATGGTCTAGCTTCCTCAGAACCGAGCAGTGCAACCCTGCGAGAAGGCCAACACCTCAAAGAGATATGTGGGAGCTATCCGATCAGCACGTCAAATCTCGTCAAATTCCCAAGGCTGCAGCCCCATCAAAAGCACGGCCATCCTGGTGAGTTCGTTTCCCAGCCCCTTGTCCGTGTCCAACTCGGCAATGGCAACTGTCCTCCGCAGCTTTCTGCGCAACCTGCCTGGCGAATGTCACACCTGAAGCCGGGAGAAGTCAAAGCCGCACGAGGCTCCCCCCCCCAAAAAACAACACCAAACACCAAACACCAAACACACACACACACAGACACACACACCACCCCGCCTTCATCAAAGCCCACACACGTGGATGACCTGTGGTGCTTGAAGCTCACATGGTGCCCCCCCCCCTCACTTGTCTTGAGGCGCTGGCTGCGCAGGACGCACCATGTCCTTTCGCAGGAGAAGGAGAAAAAAAAAAAAAAGGGGGAGAAAAAAAACACCGCTGGAGCCACGGCGTTTTGGTGCCGCTTCGTCCTCCCCGGCCCTCCGTCTCTCCCCGGAATTCCACCACCCACGGGGCCCTGCCAAGATGGTCCACTGGTAACAGAGTCCTTGTCTTAGCAAACTGGAAGTCTCGGGCGCCTAAGCCGGCTGAGCCAGCGCTGCTGGCAGTGGCCTTGGCACTTGGCACTGATGGCATCACTGCCCATGACACAAAATACACACAACTGGCGGGGAACATCTTGGGCAAGATCATCTGCGGCATCGCGATCATCCTTGCAGGGACCGTCTACATACCCAACCACTTACACGACACTTGCGAAACAGAGTGGGTTTCCTACATGCCCTTCCCTTGGCTGGGTGGGAGAAAGTAACATAGACTTCGCTTAAAAACGTTCGCTCGCAGTCCTCATCAAAGGCCGCCGCCTCATGCGGGGCATCGATGAAAAAGAACCTGAACGTCTGATGCATCTCCGAATTGAGCTGCCTTCGTCAGGCAGCGCACTCACATCCTTTCAGAGCCTTTCGTACAGACCCCGTTTTCTGCTTGAACACCTCGCCTGGTCGCGTTGAGTCGGCAAATCCAGTGGAGGGGCATGCACCACGCTAGGCCGTCACAAGTCTGCTGAGATGTGCACCGTTCTGCAAGTAACCATGCAAGCAAAGGACGCCTCAGACCGTCCAAAGTCCCAGATGCGCCACACTTGTAAGCTCAGAACGCAGGCTGCCATGAACCTTGCCAGGCACTATGTGCGTGTGCTGCGATATGCCGCGCTGCCACTCTTCCACTTGGACCCCTGCCGAAGTGGCCGCGGAGCGGGCTGGAGCCGCTGGAGCCGCTGGAGCCGCTGGAGCCGCTGCTCGAGCTGGTGTTGCCTGGCTTCGCCTGCGCAAGCTCGAGCCTGAAGTTCCTAAAGCCGAGCACCGATCTGATGGCATGTGGCTGTGGGTCCAAAATCGGTACCCAAAATGCAACCCTGGTAAATAGAAACATGGACTAAAATCTGCGGTCCTTTGGTTATTTAATTTTGACCCACACCCATGTGGGCCTGGCAAGGAAGAAGTCCAAGCCGCATCTCAACTCCTGCCGAGAATCGAGTAAGCCAATGGGCAAGCACCAGCGTTCGCTCCTCATTGCTTGGAGGCATGCAGCTTGAGATCGTGCGCCCGGAAACTGCACTGCCCAAAATGCGAAGCATTTCAAAGCAAAAAGGAAGGCTGTGAAAGTGAATCCTCGTACAACGGTGGTCCTCACATCGCTGGCGAGCCAATAGGGCCACCCTTTAGCCTTGAAAAAAATGAGTCCCACCCCCAGGCGGTGAGCTTGGCGTTGCTTGCCTTTTACACTCTCTTTGGCAAAAAAGGGCTTTATTTTTTCCTCGCAAGTCTGCATCCAGTTGAACATTCACGTGAAGCTATTTGCCTGATCTGAAAAATGCTCGGCAAGTGTAGAAGCGGCGCAACTTTGGCATAAACAAACAGCACGTAGAAAATGTTGTTCGGAAGAACTTGCTTGCAGCATGCACTTGCTTTCGGACACTTTTTCGCTCATTCTGCCTCTTGGCATGGAATATGCCACTAGTCTCGGCCACGGATCACTGATTCGCCATCTCGCCGGCGCTTCATGGGCGGGCACAGCTCAGGAGGCGGCCTCTTGGTCCCAATTTCGCGCTCACCATGCGCGTTGTTGCAATTCTTTCCGTAGATGCATCCCTTGGCCGTTTTCGTCACGGGATCCCAGAAAACGCACAATCGCGTCTTCACCTTGCCGCAGACGGAAAGCCCGATGGTCCCCAGCTCACTCTCAGTGTGCGCAAAGGGACAAATCTTGCCAAGGGAGCACTCGCCACGGGAGAAGCGTCCACACATCTCCTTCTTCTTTTTGAGCCTCATGTCGGGCACCTGGCTCTCAGGTATGTCACCCTGCTCAGCCGCAGCCCCTTCTTCACTCACAAAATTGTCAGGTACATCAGGTGAGGCGGGATGAAGCTCTTCGTAGGTATGTGCGAACGTACAGTCTTGGCCTTGCCGACAGAACCCCACTGTCAGCAGGGGCTTGCAAAGCCTCATTGGGCGAAAGCCTTCTTTGAAACGAAGAGGCTGCGCTGTTTGAGTCTTCGCTCGCTTCTCCTGTTCTTGCCGCTGTATCTGTTGATAGAACTGATACTGCTGCATGTACTGCATTTCTTGTGCAGACTGGGCAGCCGCTGCAACCGCCGCGGCTCCCTCTGATTCTGTGGCTTCAGGTGCTGCACCGCCAGCCCCTGTGCCTAGTGCTTGCACCACGGCGCCCAGCACCGCGGGATCCAAACCCAGCGCCACCGCGACAGCCGCCACTGTCGCGTCTGTGCCCTGCCCTGACCCTGGCGGCCCTGGCGGCCCTGGCGGCCCTGGCGGCCCTGGCATCCTTGGCGGCCCTGGCGGCCCTGGCGGCCCAGGCGAGGACTGAGGCGCCGGCAGCGCGGGTGGGCCAGGCGGCCCGGGCGGCCCAGGTGCTGTGGGCGCTCCGGTGGGCCCGCTGGGCGCCGGCAGTGTCGGCGCCCCCAGCGGCATCGGATGCCAACCAGGTGGCCCGGACGGAGCCATTGAGCCCATTGAGCCCATTGAGCCCATCGAGACCCCGGGCCCTGTGCCCATCATCGGCATGCCTGGCCGCGGAGCTTGAAGAAGTCCCACAGGCGGCATGCCCGGTAGCTGGCCAAAAAGTTGGAACTGGTTCAAACCTGGCATTGGCCCAGCAGGCGCGCCTGGGGGTGGCATCATCTGCCCCGGAAACGCAGGCATGCCTGGGGGCAGCATGGCCCATGCACTGCGCAGACACAAAGGCCTCGATCTAGAGGCATTGGCATTTGGGTGGAAACATGCTGCAGCACAGGTGGACTAACATCAAGGCATGACTGCATTTCCCTGGTTGCCGAAAAGGACTTGGGCTCGAAAAACAAACCTGCAACATCTGCTTTTCCTTGCGAAGCTCTTGGAGTACGCTTGGAAGATTGTCCGGAAGGTACACTAAGTGACATCTGCGCTTTTTCGCAGGCAGCACTTGCAATAGTTGAACACAAGCCGAGGTATGAGCTGGTCGAAGGCTCAGACGCATCATGCGCCTCAGAATGTTTTCGCCTGCGCCCGTCTCGGCTCTCATCGAGCATATCCATGAATTCATCAAAATCAACCACGCCATCACCTGAGGTGTCATAACTATCTAGAAACGCCTCAATTGCTTTGGACTCCTTGTCCTTTGCTTTGTCGATGGTCCGGCCGGCGGCCAGAAGCTTGCATAACTCCGCCTTTGTGACAGTGCCGCTCCCGTCCGAATCGAAGATCTTGAAGGCTTCCCAGACAATGTCCGGCTTCAGAACCTTCGCCTTATCCAAGGCCGCCGCCAGAAACTCGGTGTACTCGATGGTGTCGTTGCCATCGGTCCCCACGCCACAGATGCTCAACCCCTCGGGCAAGGGAACGCCCACCTCGGCAAAGGCGCCCCGCAGCTCCCCCATCGTCACGTGGCCGTTGGCATCCTGGTCCAGATATTCAAAGATCTGGCGCAGGTGCTGGGTGTCCTCGTCCGGCACCCGCCAGGCCAAGGCCGTCAGGGCCGCCTTCTGCAGCATGTTCAGCTCCTGGAACTGGATCATGGTCTCCACGATGCCCTGCATGATGCCGCTGGTGGGCAGCGAGGCCTCCACTTTGAGCCAGGCGTGCCGCAGCGCGTCGCCGATCGAGGCCCGGTTCTCGGGCTTCTTCCGCAGCAGCTCCGCCACCATGGACTTGGCCTCCTTGGAGATCTTCTTCCACCGGAGGCTCTTGAAGCTCACAGGCTCCTTCCGGATCTTCTGCAGCAGCTCGTCCTTGGTCTTGCCGTGGAAGGGGTACTGCCCCGACAGCACGATGAAGGTCACCACGCCCGCGCTCCAAGAGTCGCACCTTGGCGCTTCACACAAAAAAAGAAAAAAGAATCTGAGAGAATTGCAGCTTGGAGATGAGTGAGTTTTGTCACATGGATTGCTCCGTTCCGTTTTGCTTGCTGTTGGTTAAGCCCACTCCGTTTCCAGGGCATGGCTGACTAGCGGCAAGCGGAACAAAAGAAGCCCGCACGCGCAAACAGCAAGCTTGAAAACAAAGTGGGTGGTGCTGAGCATTTGTTGGGCACATCAATCAACTGCGATGGCCAAACGGCGCCATGGTACCCAACTATCTGGCATAACGTGCGGGCATGACAAGTCGAACAGTAGAAAAGGATCAAGAGGAGGGACGGAGGTGGGGAGGGATTAAGACACTGAGGCCCCGAACGGCCCCACACACACAGTCCCCCATTCCCCCGTTCCGCCCTGCACCCTGGCCAAGGGCTGCGGAGGCAGCCGTATAGAAACGGAATGAACGAAGGAGCGAGGCCGAAACAGAAAGGAGCCGGCATTCGAGAAAGTCAAATATAGACGCGCGAGACCATGCGTCGCCGGGATGGCCAAAACGAAACAAAAAATGAACGATGTGATGCTACAAAGTAACATCCGAGGAAAGTTTCCATCATCAAAGACACCCCCTAAGAGGCAGGTCAGAGGGAAACACCTCGAGATGCTGACTTTGATAGCCAAAACAAAACGTCAAAATCATAACCCCAGTCAGAACTTGCTTTTTTGCCAGAAGCAGCTTTGATAATCCCAGTCAGTGGGGCATAGGGTAGGGCGTAGGGTTTGATTTGTCAGGTTTGGAGCTGGTGTAAATGCTGGCTAGGTTTAGATTAGGGTACCCTTCCCATCCTCTTCAAGGATCCTTCTGTTGAAAAACTGCCCAAAACTTAGATCAACCCTCAGAATTGGGGCAAGTTTCGAAGACAGTCAATTCCAGCCCAGGCTTGGCTTTGACAAATCAGGGATAGTCCCCCCTCCAACCAAAGCACCCACCCACCAACTCAATCATGCAAGCCGGCCAACGCACCCAACCCAAACCATGCAAATCAACCCCACCCTTGCTGACCCACCCACTCCGAACTCGGCAAAGTAGACCATCCCCGCCAAAAGAAAAGGTCTAAGGCTTCAAAACCTGTCAAAAGCAAACAAGTATGCCCTCCAACATCATGCACCGACTGAGACCTGTGCCGTTGGTCATACTGTACAGGTGGAGTGACCAACTCCGGTGCCACGCTGTACGGAGTTCCGGCAGCGCGGGTGATCTTCGCTCCAGGCCGGAAAGGGCAGCAGAGGCCGAAATCAATCAGCTTGATGTTTCCGACCTCGCCTTCTTTGACGGGCTTTGCAAACATGATGTTCTCCGTCTTGAGGTCCCTGAAAATAAAATTCGCCTTGTGGAGGTACGCCAACGCAGACAGAGTTTGCCGCATGATGATTGCCGCGTGCGGTTCCGGAAATCGCTGCTGCACGCAAAGGCTCTCAAGCAGCGTTCCTCCCGCACAAATGTCCATTACGAGGAATATGTTGCGGCGATCCTCGTAGCACTCATAAGCCTTGCAGATATGCGCGTGGTCCAATTGCCGGATGACATTGAACTCATCTTTGACCGACTTTGGATCGGATATTTTCTTTTTTGGTATCGTCTTCACTGCCACATAGGTGGCCATGGAAACGCACTTGGTTCTAATATCCCTCGCCCGGCTCACAACACCAAAGCTGCCATGACCCAGCTCCTCCAACAGCTCATAGTTGTCCTCCAGCTTGCCCTTCTTCACCTGGCAAGGCACAAGCAGGGATCCTGACATTATACACCTGAACATTGCCTTCTAAATGGTGGAGTCCCTTTATTTTGCTGGAAAAAGCCATGTTTCAAATGTGCAAAATGTATTTTTTCAGGAGCCCTGACAAACTAAGCATCCAACTGATCAAGAAGCCATGTGAATGTCCCCTGCCTGTGCCAGCAAGGCCCTGTCAAATGCTTGCAAGTCCTCCCCTTGCTCTATGCTGCTGGGCGGCCGCTCCACTCTCGCGCAAGAAGCTACCGAAGCTCCCATACGAGTCCATTTCTGCGCCCGCACTGAACGCAGGCGCTTTCTTCGCTAGCCGAAAGAAAGCGAACACCCAAAAGAAGCCAAGCTCCATCCTGAAGCAAAGTGTTGCTTCACGTTGCGAACATGTGACCCAAAAGAGTGTTTTGTCCTTGTTTCGCTGTGCCGTCAAACCATCGCTGGGATCAGTTCCCCCAAGCGTGCTCCAAAATTCACGCGGGCCGTGTCCTGCAAAGTTTGCCATTTTCTACCGGCGGCCCCTGGACGTACACCCCCCCCGCTCAGAGCACGCGCGTTTTTTGGTAAAAACGTGACGCAAGTTGGAAAGCACCCAGCGAGAGGCGCCCCATCCAAGTTGGAGCTTGGGCGAGCAAAGCCAGCAGCGAGGCGGCAAAGGCACGGCTCAAGCACGTGGGGAGCATCGTCATCGAGAGGAGCAGCCCGGACGACAACAACATGGCAACAGCGAGTGAGTCAGGTCCTGCGCCTGCCATTGCAATGCGTTGGAAGCCTTACTGGATCGGTCTTCAAGTTCCTCTCACTTCAAACTGATGCCGCGTGCGCGGCTGCAGGGTCGAGGGCTCGAAAGTCAAGGTGCGGACCAAGGCATGGGCTAGGTCTGGGCCACGGCTGTTGGTCGCTGGTTCTTGCAGGAATTGCGAAGGGTTCTTGTAGTAAGATCGCCGTCTTACCCATGCAGAGCTAGATGCACGGCAAAGGCACGAGACGCAACTACTGCAAAAAGTGTTTGATCCGATCTTTTTGAACGGCTGCATCCTGCCGGAGAAACAAGTTGTTGTGCGAAAATGTTCTCGATGCAGGCAACTCGGCGCCAGCAACCTACAGTGCACAGCGACCAAAACGGTTTGTGCTGGCCCTGCGCTTGCTTTGAACTTCCTTTTCGGTCATACCAACAAAGGGTTTGTTTCAAGAAAAAGCGAGGGCAAACACCCTTAGCGATGTCCCACTACTGCCACCCATCTAGGCCAGGATTGCCAGGCTGAAGACGAAGGCGGGCTCCGAACCAATATGGAGTCAACAAGAAAGCGGGATCCGCGCAAAGGGCGCGCACACATCAAAAAGCTGACGCAGAGAGTCGCTCGCGCGGCGGGTAAAGTAGCAAAATCTTGGAATGCCGCACGGCGCCCAAGGCATCCAGCACGCCCGCTCTCTGACAAAAAGCGGAGGTCTGGGTCGTGGCACGGACCAAGAGAGAACTGCGAAGGAAGCACCTGGCGGTCGGCGACTTGGGAAACAGCAGCCACTGCCTCGTCGGCCTTTGCTTGCCGCATCCCGGGCCTATGCGGCTTGCTGGCTGCGCCTGCGCAGTCCACTGCCAACGTGGATGGTACTCCGCCAGCGCAGGCTGAGCCGCCGGATGCCGGCCGGCTCGTGAGAGAGGAGGAAGCTCTACTCTTGCAAAACAGCTCTAAAGTTTCCTGTTGTAAGCAGGGTGGGGGGAAAAACAGCAACGGAAAAAGATGCGCAGAAAAACATCATTCGGTGTGTGCTTCTGTAAAGAGCATTGGTTCGGGGCCAGCCGCCTCCTGATCTAGCAAGGGATCCTGGGTCACCGGCCTCCGCAGTGCTGTGCAGCATGCCTCCGCTGCATTCTGGGCCGTGGGCGGGACAGTCTGCTCGCCAACGGCTCCTCGACCTCGGGTTCGGGTTCGACCCGCCGCCGTGGGCTAGCATTGTCAGGGAGTGCCTCCCAGAGTCTGCCCTTGACGCGGACCTTTCTGCAGACCGGACCCGCGGGTGGCAGCGTGCAGCCTCCCGGGCCAGCTCGCGGCCGCCGGCACCATGCTTGTTTCCCAAGCCGGCCCTTTCGCTTCCCGGGTGTTTTTCACTTTCCCACCTCTTCCGCGTGCTCCGGTTCGCTTTGCTTTTGGGTTCTGCCTTGTGTGCGTGTGGGCGTGCTTTGGATCCCGTTTGGTTGACCACCGCGCCGCCTGCCCGCGGTCTGGAGCCCTTCGTGCCCGGTCTTGAGCGGCCTGTCACAACTCAAAGACTTCTGACTTGAATGACAAGTTGAAGGTGCTGCCCCCCGTCAGGCCCGGCGTGACTAATCCAGCTCCTTGCAAGGGCCAAGGCTCGCTCTGTCCCAGACGAGCAGCAGGCGTTTTGTGCCGTCTGCTTTCCCTTGCTGCCTGTGTTCGCTCGCAGCCTTCTCAAGCTGCCCGGCCCCAATGCGCACAACCTTGACGGCTGCTGACGTCCGGTACTGCGAGGTGCCCGCGTGCAGTCGCTTGCAAGGACGCTGATTGGGTGACCAACAGTGCGCAAGTGGGGAGCTGGCCCCCGGAACAAGAGCCGCGCAAGCGCCCGGAGGCTAAACCCCTAAACCGGTTTTCTTGCTGGGGGTCGGAGAAAAAAGTGCGTGCAAAAGAAACACACGACGCGCCTCGCCCGCCTGACGTTGATCAGGACTTGCGGAGGTGGTAGCAGGCCGGGGCCGCGATGCTTGATTTGAGTAGGGCCAGCGCCCGCAGTTTCAATCCGGCCCCTTGTCAGCCGGTGTTCGCAATGCCAACTGCCCCGGGTGTCGCGCAGCTGTCGACGAGACACTTATGTCTCCTCCACTGATGGCAGCTGCAGTCCCGGCGTTGTGTTTTGCCTGCGCCAAATGTGGGTGAACGCTGGGGTGCTGAAGCCGTGGACTTTGTTTGGCAACTCGCCCGGACCCGGGCCTGTTCAGTCCTGCTGCGCAGTGTGCTGACAGTGGCATACGTATGGACGCTCATAGATCAGAGGCAAGTCAGCCCAAGAGGCCCGGTAGGCAAAGACCGCTCACCGAGTATGGCCGAAGGGGCGTTCCGCATTCCAGCAGCACACCGGCATTCCAACCCCAGGTTGGCTTGCAGTCAGGCAGCGCGATGACATTGCAACGCCGAACAATTCTATTTTTTGTCCCCGCCTCCTGCCTCCAGAGCCCATCAGAAGCGCGAAAAACGAGCTGGGCGGTGCTCGCCGTGGAGGCAGGCAGAAAGTCCGGCCGCTCAAACTGGAGAAGTTGCCAAGCAGGCGAGGAAAGAGCGGTCGTGCTGGGCTGCAAAAGCTTGCGTCTGCGTAGTGGAGCGCGCTGGTTGTATGCCAAATGGTGCAACGCCCGCCGCCAAACTGCGCGTTCAACCCACCCATCAATCCGTTCACATTGCAACCCAGGGTCAACTCCGTCCTCGGCCTTAAGCCAGGAGCCAGAAACCAAGTGGAACGAAGCCACTTGCTCCCGAACGGTGTCTTGACCGCAAGAGGAGGTTTCACGCGCATCAACCTGGGCCTTTGGCAACAACCGCGTTCCAAACTCGGGCCTTGCCAGCATTGAGCCGGATGTGGGTGTGAACGAACAAGTGTGCTCCTTGCTTTGGGGCTCCACCCTTTCGGTCCCCGCGCCTCTGAGCGGCGCAGTCCGAGCCCATGCCGAAGCCCAACTGTGCTTGCGGCGTAGATGACGCAGGACAGCGGCCGCGCCTGGACCAACAGCACAATCACACGTGACCCAACCAAAAAAAAACACGAGCGCCGCGCGTCCATCAGGCGAGCGCACTCCCATCTCAACCATGCAGGCTCCAGCGGCTGCGCAGTTGACCCCATGATGGATGATCCGCAACAAGCCCGTGCCACCACAGCAACACTGCCACCCTCGTGATGTGGGGGATTGCCAGAACGGGCGCCACGACCCGGCGCGAAGCCGCCGCTGCAGCCGCTGCTGCAGCCAGCGGAGTGCCAGCCAATCAACGCACAGCTTCTGGAGAGCACACGCCGCCAAACAGCCCGGCAGCAACAGCAGCAGCAGCAGCAGCAGCAGCAGCAGCAGTAGCAGCAGCAGCTGAACCAAGTAAGCAACAAACGCTATCGAGCTCCGCGCACGTGCGTTTGCCCACAAACCCCCTCCACGCTAAACGGGAGTTGTTTGCCCGACACACCGCAAGGGCTGATGCCGATGGGGCGCCGAGCCCCGCCCATGACAGAAACCGAAGAGCCGAGCGGGCAATCCGGCTTATTTGGTTAGAAAAAAAAACAAAAAACAAAAAAAGAAAAGAAAAAAAACGCGCCAGGCGTTTCTTTTTTTTCCGAAAGTGCATGACCGGCGGGTGAGACCTACGAGACAAAACACGACGCTGCAAACCTACTCAGGCCTGCGACCCTACCCCTACCCAGTCAGCCCCGCGGCAGCAAGCGGCTGGCAGGGGGGGAGCCTGCGAGGCGCGCGTCCGCGAGGAGCTCAGGCAGCATCGGCTCGACGCCATCGATGGCATCCCGCCCCCGGCAAGCCGGCCAGGCTCGCGGCGACGCGCTGAGCCGCAACGGCAATGAGGCCCGAACACCGACCACCGATGGTGGCGCGCCTGGATGCAGGCAGCGCGCAGCCAAGCTGGCCGCACTCGCGCACGGCTGGGAGCCAGCACCCGCAAGACATCGCGCGCCTCCCCATTCCACCTGCCACCCACCTCAAGCCCAAACACAAAGAGCTTGAAGCGCCGTGCTGACAAGAGCTCCGGGTAAGTTTGCTCCCGTTTGCGGCGGGCGGCCTGCGCCAGCCAACGCCGGCTTCTCGAGCACTCCGCCCCGCGGCCTTCCATCGCTGCCAACGGGGCAGTCGAGCGTGGCGTCAACCG